ATGCGACAACCACAGCAGTCTGCCAGTCAGAAACTGGGTTGGTCCAAAACACATAATGCCTATTGTTTAAACCTCACAAAAAGCACCTGGATGAAAAGTTAAATTATCATGGAATGGTTGATAGAAGTTTTTGTACCCACTGTAAAAGCCCAACAGCTAAAAAATAGCAAAAGAGAGAAAATTTTATTACTCCTTAATAATATAACAACTCATCTATCATGTGACATCCTAAATAATAGGACAATATTTGTGACAAAGTTATAAGTGATATTTCTTCTAACTAATGTAACCTTATTACATCCCATGAACCAAGGTATTATTGAGACTTTCACTTTTACAGAAAAGAATTGCTATATAAGTTGTTGCTAGAAAGAGAAGAGGAGGGAGAGGAAAATCTCATTAGAAACAGTAAAAAGATTGATTTAAAAGATGCATCCTACATGATCAGAGCAGCTTGATACAGTTTAAAGATACAGACTTTAAAAAAAGCTCAGAATAAAATTTTGAGTATAGCAAAAAGTTCTCAAAGCGAAAGTGGAAATGAAGATGATTTGTCTGAAATGCTAAATTTGCTACAAGCACTCAATTGCCATGAATGTAATAAAGAAGACATTCAAATATGGCTGACAGTTGACAATCCAGATGCAGGACACCAAATCTTGTAGGATAGCGAAATTATCTACCTCGATGTTGTGAGTGACAAAGCTGATGCCGCCAGGACTTCATAAATTAGTGGTTCAGAAAATGAAGACGAAATATTCCTACTGCTTTAAAAACATTTATATGCTTAGATACTGCCTTGAGATGGTTTGAAGCTTAAGATGAAAGAGACCAATATCAGATATCTGACCTGAAAAAAGCGCATGACTTAGCTGCACTTAAGAGGGTAAGTTTGCTTCGACAGACCAAAATTAAGGACTTCTTTAAATGTTAATTATATAGGCATACTGTATGTTCAATATTGATTATACAATATTTTTTTGTTTACTAAGCTATCCTATCACATCTGAATTTATTTATATTCCTACTTACAACTGTAATAAAAGAAATTTGTATTACATATAAATATGTTTTATTGACATAATGGTACATAAAAGTATACAGTTCAATTATCCGAATACGATTTTCCCAACACTCATGTCCTCCAATTAGTTTGGATAATCGACTCTACTGTAGTGATAAAATAAAATATGTTGGGACTAAATCAAAACTCTGAGTTTTTTATAATAATTTTTTTGACACCATGGCTGCCCTCAGTAAGCATATTGATTACTACATTTACACCTCATAAGGAGAGGTCAACCTCTCCCCCCAACTCCTGCTTATGTAAGACATGCCTTCCGACACAGCCTCCAGCTGCTATTCACTAAATCACTATTCACCATCATCTATAGATCATAGTTATATTTTGAACAATAAAAGAATGAAAATTATAGATGAAGGCTTTTATGAGCCATAGCGTCCATTTACCATTACCAACCAGTTTGATTGTTGGTCACTCAGACTTGTCTAAAAATATTCTGTTTATCATTTAAAAAATGTTGTTGCTCCAAATAATATAATCTTGAATATACAGTTTCTTCAGTTTCACCATGACAATAGGTACTGCAAATCATTTGAAATATCAAAAGAATAGAATAGATTAAAAATTAAAAGTTACAGCCTATATAATTCTCACTGCTAGGCACAGGCCTCCACTCATTTCTGTGAGGGGTGGGCTAAAATTAAGCACAATGAAATAGGTAAAAGTAGTTTTATTCAATATTGATAAAGCATATTATTTTTTCATAATTGAACATTTACTAGGCAAATTTTACTATAGTTTTGCATATATAACACAGGGCTGCAATGTTTTTCTCCTTACAAAACTAATTAGCACTTTAGGTAGGTATAAGATACTAAGCTAAAAGAAAAATAATAAAAAAATCCATCACATAAATTTTCTGAGTAAATTGTTTTTTTTTTTCATTTTTGTCAGTATTACAACATATTTCTACAAATATAAATATAAATAGTAATAACTACAAATTTCTTTGATAACGGTACATACTAGTAATAGTGATGCCATTTAAATATTCATCTACCCTCATTAATCGTTGTTGGTCATAATTAAAATCATATTACAATTTACATGTATCAATTATGGTACAATATTTTTATGATTTTTGTTTAGTAATAAATGATACAAATGGGTTCTCGCTAAATGTGTTAATTCTCCACATAACCTCTGTTATATATTTGGAAGTTACGTAATATGGAAACAACTACAAAATATTTTTAAACCTATTGAAGAATTCTATGAAAGGTATTTTAAAATCAAGATAAAAACCAAGACAAGAAATGGGTGCTGTATGAAATGTGTACAATTTGTGTTGATGAGATAAACATAATATGATAGAGTAAGTGAACCAAGGAAGGTGCGAAGCAAACATAATTAATGTTGAAGAGAGATGAATCAGATAGAAATCATAAGAGAAAATCATTGAACAGGACGAGTTTTGCAGATGAGCCTTTTGTTTTACTTTGTCTCTTTAGCATTATTTTTAAAGGCCTGTAACACTGTTGGATTTTATATAAAAATTGAATTTTTGATTCATTACTTTTTGTATTTTCATGAAAATTATTAGAAAATTCTATAATATTCTTGTCATCAACAAAAATAAATCCCGATGTGCTAGAAAAATTTCGCAGACCTGTGTAATTTATGGGTTTTATTATTTTATGTGGTAGGTACTAACAAAAGATTTAATATAACTCACCTTCAACACCGGCGTTAAATATCCAGCGACGCCCAAAGCAGTTCCTTTTACCGTATTAATTACACTTTGCATTGTTTAATTTAAGTAAAATGTTATTGAGTGATAGTTAAACTCAAGAAAATAAGTTAAGAATATCTGTTCTTTGTATTTAATTCAATAAAAACAACCCAATCACCATAGATTACTGACTATATACTAGACCCACAGAGTACCTTTGTATAAACTGATAGACCAATCACAGACTAATCATAGATAATACATATGTAGTTCCATCTCCGATAGGAGTAATAGTGTTCTGTAGTCAGTAATCTGTGGTGTTCTGTGGATATGTGAAAATAAAACGGCTACGGCTACGGCTCTGGGTTCTAGCCCTTCTGACATTCTACAATCTATGTTCAAGCTATCTTTCAGAGAGAACTTTTATGTATAGGTACTACCTACGCTAGTATTTCTTATAAAGTTAGGACCGCACTAGGCAGAATTGCGCCGCAGCGGAACTGAGAGAAAGAGTTGGTCAGTTGATCAACTTTGTCGCGCAGTTCTGCTGCAGTATAGTTCCGTTGCCGCTTAGAGCGTGCTGTCTCATATAAAGAATATTTTGACAGGTTGTGTCACTCAGTTCTGCTGCGGTGCGGTTCCGCCTGGTGCGGTCCTAACTTTATAAGAAATACTAGCGTAGGTAGTACCTATACATAAAAGTTCTCTCTGAAAGATAGCTTAACATTCAGTTTATGTCTATACACAAGTATATTCTATGGTGATGTCGTTCTATGGAACGACATACAGTTCCATAGATTTGTTGTTCTTACTCTGAAACTGAATGACATTAACATTAGTTTTGTGCCTGCTCGGTTATTTTAAAAATCGCTCCGTACTAGTTCATTTCGGACAGTGAACTAGTTCGTTCTATTAGCTCTATTCGGTCATCAGTACTACTAAGCAGTTTAAACTGTATCTGTATAATATATTAAATGGCTATCTCAGTCAGTCGATATCTGCTCGAATCGTAATGTTGTTTGATTACTCGTACACACACATACACATACACACACATACACTCATACACATACACACATAATAATTACTGAAAAAATAATGAGCATTAGTGACATAAAATCCCATATCCGTAGTGTACGAAAATAAAAAGCATACAGAGACGAAACGAATCTTAAAATAATAATTTAAAACATAAAATTCTGATTAAAACTGCAGACTTCTTGTGATCATATCCTAGACGGACCCAACCATTACATCAGATTTGATAGACCACAAATCCTCGCGAAAGAACACCGATTCCTACCAAGGATGATACGTGAGGCTATTGAAATTAAAAAACATCCTAATTTCAATAGAGAAGGAGGCTGGGTACTACCACCTGCTTGGGATCCTATAATCAATAAAATTAAAACTAAACCCAAGCATACCACTGCAAGACCTCAGGACGTAGTCAGTTCATTTTGCATAGATCGGACCATGAACAATAATTAAAAAAGCTGAAGTTACTCCGGGTTTAACAATGACATCGGGACGTCAGTCATCAGAGGCAGTCAGTGAGTCCCCCGTGACCATGGGTGCTGGAAAGCACCCGAAACGTCGGGAATCAAAAATAAAAGTAAATAAAAAGTTAAAATAAACGCGATAAAATCCGTAAAAGTAGTTTTAATCATGTATAGTGTTCGCGTAAATATAAGAAATCATTACATAAAATTCTCCTCAGTAGTTGTAGTAATTATAACATAACTTCAACTTTATTAAATTTTTACGCGATCACAATTGCCGAAACGAAGTCTATCAAATGTTTGTCATTTCGAATGATACGATAAAATAGACGTTATTGCATTGATTTAACTAACGTCCATTTCTCTCGTTCACTCGCTTTCGTATGTTCTCGTTCGTAAATGTAGGTGTACTAAAAGAGCTATTAGACCGTAGACAGAGAAATTAGATCTTGCAAATGTATGTGTACGAAAAGAGCTATTAGATCAATTACAATTAGCGATCGGAAACTTTTCTTCTAGTACAGTGCTAAGATATGTTTCCTATTCGTTCATCGTTCGCGAACTACACAAGACTAATGACATTTGACATTGACAGTAATCTCTGGTAATCTCGTATTATCTGCCTTAGTACCTGCCTTGCAAATCGTCATAAAATTGAAAAAGATTTTCGTTTACAGCGACGGAAAATAATGAAATTTATTTGTACAAGCAATCATCGCAGCTAAGATAAAAAATACTAGACATGGATGACGTTTTAGATGAAGTTGTCTCGTCGGAAGACTTACAGGTAACAAATTTATTTTATATATCTGTGATTCATTATACTTACAGTAAAGACTACAATGTATGCACGGATACAGTATATTTCTCTCACCGTTTACCCTACTATTGCATTGTAGAAGTTCGAGAAAGTATTCCATGAGCAGCTACATCAGGGTAAAGTGACTCATAAGGCTCAATTCGAATATGCATGGTGCCTTGTTCGGAGTAAATATCCTACAGATATTAGGAAGGTATGTATAATTTTATTTTTGCTTACTTATTACATATATGGTAAAATTTTCAATCTGCTGTGATTAAATTAAACAAACTTAAAATTGTATTTCATTGTTACATTACTAATAATCTGTAAAATATGCCCAATATCATGCACTTGTAGATCATCATTACAGCATATAATGTTCACCGCTGAACAGAGCTTGCCTATAAATTGTCTAATTTGCCATAGTTGTCCTGCTTGACAGGTAGTATAGAAATTGCAGTGTTTCTAATACCTTGAGATGTATTTAGGAATATTCCGATGCCCACCTGCTTCTCTCTATTGCCTTTTAAAACACCCATGGGACAATATGGGGTAGTAGATTGTCTATTTTATAAAGCAATTTGTGGGGGAGGTCAATGTTCAACAGTAGACTTTTATAGGCTGTAATGTATAGATGGATTGATTGATTGCGTATTATCTTAGTCCTCAGGGGTGAACATATCTACTTTTTGATTTTCAATCAAGGATAATGTAGTCTATAGGTCACAGCATCTACTTATCAGCATGTGCACTGGGTGCATGTTTTTCATGCTTATTCTATAAAAAAGTTTAATAGTTCTTGTTAAAACACAACACTATTTGCTGCTACTTTAAACTGGTATTCTGTGAGAGTGTCATCCCTTTCAGTTTGGGTCAATCTATTTGTACTTATGAAATAAATTAGATTTTTAAAAATAAATTATAAATTATATATTTATTTAATATATATTATAAAAATAAATTATATTTTTATTTATTATATATTTGATTATGAAATAAAATGAAATATGCTAATAGATTATATATAAATATATATAATCTATTTTCACTGAAAGAACATAAACATAAAACTTCTAACTTAAGTTATAATTTTTAGTTTCTTTATTGATATTGTGGAAAAATTTATTTCAGTACTAAAAATTAAAAACGTCATGTTATCTTGTAATGTTCCACCGCCAAGGTGGCATGAGTAATTTCAAATAAGAATGACATGTTATAAAGAATTTTCACTTGTATGTGTGTACACAATTACATGCATAATATTTTTTTTTATTCAACAGGGCATCCTTCTTCTCAAGGAACTATTTAATTCTCATCCAGAAGGCAAAAGGGACTACTTGTTCTACCTTGCTATAGGCAATGCTAGGATTAAGGAGTACAACAAGGCATCTCACTATGTCAAGTCATTCCTTGAAATTGAACCAGCTAATCAACAAGTACTGGCATTAGAGGTAATAACTACTAAATATCATATTATGATTTTTCCTTCAGCTTTGTTAAATTGAATTATTATATAAAATCCTAAAAAAATCTAAATAATTAAGAGAAGGGACTCAATAGCACAGTACGGGGCACCTGTACCCTAACCATAGGTATTATTACTACCTGTCGAAATATGAATCCTCGTATATTATATAGCTAATTTATTAATAATTGAAACATTGTGGTGGTTGCACGTATTTCTTTAAAAATAAATCTATGCAAATCTCTGATTATCCTATGAACTTAAATATATATTATAGTTCGATTGAATAAGACCAGCAAGCCTATTTGATAACTTTATTGACATCTAAATGATATTCACTTTGAAGTATGTTACATAATATCTTTTATAATGTTTTTGCTCTTTTAGAAAGCTATATAGCACACAACACAATTTGACTATAATTTTAATGTTTACAAAGTTAGCAAATAGGCCTAATAGTGCGCACATACAACATGGTCTTAAAATATCTCCCGCATTACTTCTGACGTACTGTAGTGATTGAAATCGGCGACATTAATCAATATTTTTGACTACGAACTAGATCTAATAACACACCACATTAGGTAAATATGTGTATTGTGCTAGGTAGCATAATTAATAATGAACTGATTGATTTAATTAACCTTATTTATTAATAATGTAATGCAAGTATCAATATTCATAACTATTTATGACAATCTATTATATAACACTTGGTAAAGAAGGAGGTTTTTAGATTCTGCTGTATGATGTTTTGTATATGTGTTATGCAATGTCAAAAATTAAACATTTAATTTCTTTTTCTTTTTATATCTTTGAAGTATGTTCTTACTTCTTCTGTATAAAAAGTTTAATTTTGTAACACATATGTATTTAAGTTTGTAAAATTGATTGTAGCTTAATGATGCAATACAGATAAAAAAAGATATGGATTTCATTTCAATCCATCATTTAACTCTTATGGACCTCTCCTATTACCTCATACCTAGTATATTTTAAAGAAAAATATAATTTCATACCGTATTTTACGCTCGGTACTAGTTTATAACACATTAAATGGCTTGGTTTAAGCATATTGTACTTTATTAAATCTGAAGCTCATTAAACAAGAAAGCTACCCTAACAGATCGCACAGTAGCAGCACAGACTGTCAATGCTTTACTCGACTAACATTTAACCGCTTGCTTCGTGCTCTACATGGAATAGTAATATGAATTTGTCTTGCGATATCCAAGAATACTACCTTTACTTGCTGTTTAATTATTTTTTTATAACAGAATTTAAAAAGTTATTGTTTTATTCCAGAGGCAAATCAACAAACGTATGGAGAAAGAAGGATTGTTAGGTATGGCGGTAGCAGGCGGAGCTGTGCTGGCCCTTGGAGGTCTCATTGGTCTCGGTATTGCACTGGCATCTAGCAAGAAATAGCATTTTGCTCTTCTGTAAGTACAAATCATTCATTAAGCTTTCTTTTTGTTTTAAATTAATAAGATTTTTTCAAATAAAGAGTGTTTTGGTAGTCTATTTTTATTTTTGGCATGACACCAGTTTCATTGTCATTGCTGTCTTTAGTAAAGTTCGCTTTGTGTCCAGTTTATTTATAAATAAAGATGCGCCTAAAATATGAACTGTTGTTAGTGATAAGTGTTGCACTGTAGGGTTGCTATGGAATTGCAGAATTCGTTTTTGTTGATGTAAGTGTAGGTAGAGATGCTCCATTTATTGTCAGTGTTCCCTTTAAAGACTGATAAAACTGAACTAAACTAAAACTGTAAGCCATGCTGATTTTAAAACTGTTTCGAGAGACTGTTAGTGGTCCTAAAAATAAGGGATATTTTTAATCAAAAATGCATGAAAGCAATTGACTTCCAAATGACCTTATAAAGTGGACTGAATAAAGTGAGGCCAATATCCAGCGATTTATAAACCAAATTGTCTTATTTGTCAAGATGTCAAATATCATACCTTCTTATTTTTTTTTATAAAAATATTATTGTATATTTGATTGATTTCTATTAATTGAATTACAATAACCATCACTTTAAAACTGAGATTTAGACTAAATATTGATATTGGACACCTTGTAGTTCGTAATTTATGGATAAGTAAAATTCTAATTTATACTTTGTATTTTAATATTATACATATTAGCATTAGTAATTTACTAAAGTGAGTATTATGTTCAACATAACACAAATGGGTCGACTCAACCAGGGTAGGACCACACTCTCATAGAAATTTAGTCTCATATTAATTTAGAAAATTAGTAGTTCAATGCTGCTGTGTTTCGTATGGTGAGTGTAGCGAACCGGAGACTCTTTTTACTGGAAACGAGGCATTCCATCTTAGTCCCCGCGGGTGACAACGCATCTGCATTTTGATTCGTATTCGAGGATATTTGTAGATGTCTATGGACCACAGCAACCACTTACTATCGGGTGAACTGTATGCTTGTTTGTCACCCTATCCTATAAAAAAAGGGTAGCTGCTATAAGACTGAGCTCAAATGAACCAAAATGGCAGCCATCATCTTGATTTGACAGTGTTAGAGCCACGCAGCTACTATTGATGTCGCATGGATGGGCCAGCTTGAATCGGTGTGGTACCGTACGACCTCACAGAATACCTGCGTGAAGTAGAGCCTCTGCCTTTCACTTGAGCTGGAGGCCCAATTCCCGCTCTCCCTTAACATCGTAGCGGAATCAAATAAAAACTAACCCAAGGGGGTAACCTCACTCCTGGTGGTGGAGAATCCCTCGCTGAGCAGCCACGGCCAAGCTACTTTACTCTTCTTGAGCGTGAGTGCTTAGGCTGCTCCACGTATCTGGGAGAAGGGGAGGGGGGAATCCTGCTCGTGACTAAAACTGCTAGAGGCAAGCGGAGCAATAAGACCAAGGCGACCCCTGTCACGCTATCCGTGAATTTTTGCAACATCAGGACACTTCATTCCAATCTTAATGCTGTGTCCACTACCACCCGGAGACGGCGAAGCCGGCCTTGCTCTTTTTAACCGAAACTCAGGTGTCCTTTCCGGCTTGTACTTCATATCTCTCATACCCGGGGTACAAATTAGAATACTCCTTTGTGCCCTCCTGGAGTTTGTTCTATTTTGCATTTACTAAAATATACTTTTTTTTTTAATTTGGAAAAGCCTGTATTTTTAATTCCATGGAAATTTATTTTTTATTCCAACTAGTTTTTTTTGGTACTAAGTTATTTTTTATAATAAACATGTTTTACATTACATATGTTGTATATTTTATCGATGGTTACATGCTCACTGGAAAATCTAGGAGGATAGATTGTGTGCTATTTTGTCATTTGTATTGTATTTAAAAAAAAACATACAATTTTTCTGTTGACTTTCTATATTGGTTTCATATTGGGGGTAGCATTACAAAGGTTTTGAAATCAATTATTAAATAAACACCATATTATAAATCGTAATTGTACTATTATAAATGGGATTTCGCAATAAATCTAACCACAATAATTTTTATTTTTAAGTATTATTATATACTTTTCAAAACGCTGTGGCCACATTTTTGGCAGGCGGGGGGGGGGGGGGGGGGGGGGCAATGGAAGTATTTTTTTTAGTTGTTATTAGGGAGACGCTGCTGCTGATGGTAAAGATGCTCCTCCGGTTTTGTTTCCCGCTATTGCCTTTTACGACACCCATGGGGTGATATGGGTTAGTTGTTATTCTTACACTGCCACTATAAGGTTTCGCGTTTTAAAGTAGTATGATATTAATTGAAAGAGCCGTGGTAACTCAGATTGTTAGCGCTCGCTATAAATTTCACAGTACGCGAGCAAACGGGGTTCGATCTCCGCCGGCACCAATGAAATTAATAATTGCAATCATAAGTGCTGATTTACCTGAGAAAGCTGCATGTCCGAGAAAGAAGAATATAAATATTTCGAAAACATGTGAAGTTCGTCAACACGCATTGGGGCAGCGCGGCGGACAATTCCTTGCCCTAAAACCCTCGCAGAAATGAGCGGAGGCCTGTGCCCAGCAGTGGGACGTATATAGGCTGTAACTTTACTTTTACTTTATATTAATTGAAATATTAAATGATATCAATATAAAATTTATGTAGCGACAAAATAGAAAACACAAAAAAGTTGAAAAAAAAAAAAGATAACAAAAATACTCCATGAACAATGGAATAGAATAATGTCGTCATTATTCTGCTTCTATCAATTTAATTCAATCCAAACATTCGAGTTTAAATATTGATCAAATGTTTGCTGTATGTATGTGTTGTCCAAACATTGAATGTTTTTTGACTTTCTGGTAGTCATTTCGTTATTTTGGTATCAAATGGCCTACCAGTGTATCAGATGTGATTGTGATTTACATTTAACGTTTAATGACATCATTTACACTGTACATGCATGTTTGCTTCCAGGATGAATGTCGCTGTAGGCGTTCATCGCTTCTTTAAAAAGAAAAAGGAGACAAAAAAAGAATAAAGAATCAACAGATGACAAGAAAAATATTACTTCTAGAATTTTCACTATAGATTTAGATTTTTGTACAAATATATATATACACAATACACAAGAGCAGTCTTTTGGTTAACTTATAATATGGGAAAGCTTACTGGGTTATCTGCGCGCGTATTTAAAAAGTTATCGGGACATGTTTTAGCGCCACTGAAGGAGCTGATGCCTTCATAATTTGTCCTACTTGTATATCATCTTAATTTAGTTTTCCTTAGCATGACTATTTTGAAATGAAATTTTAGCTCATATCTAAATGTGCGGATGTAGTTGCATGTGTTTAAACACAACACACAAGTTGGTTTAGATACCAACAACCAATAATTAAATCTGTGTACAAATAATTCCAAATTTGTTATTTCGAGTATTTATATTCTTTTTGATATAATCAAAACTCGAGGATTGAGTAAATCTAGAGCTGCTTTTATAAATAAGGCTTTGATGATATTGTAAAATGCCACATCCAATATCAGTATAATTAAAATGTGCTTTGAAATGTTAATATGCGTTATTTTGGGCAAACAAATGGTTTTGTATACAAAAAGTGTAAATAATTGCTATATTTTGATACACATTTTGTTTGAATTTTTAATGCCCTTATCCCTAAACGATACCTGATCCAAAGGTTTCAAATTGTTCCAAATATTTTTAAATTTTTGTGTTTACTTTTAATAATATAGCTGATGTTATATTTTATGTGATACTATTTATTTGTTTAACTCTAGGCACTTGTAGTTTAAGGGTATGTGATGATCATTAATATAAAAATATATTTTGTCAGTGCGATTTCATTTAATAAATGCGGTTTAGATTTTGAATGCAGTTTCGATTGCTTCAATATGTATGCGGTAACAATATTTACAGATCAAGATATAATGAAATCTCTAACAACTTATAGTGCGTCTAGGTATAAAAAAGCTGGTCAATAATTTTTTGGTGTATTTACCAAGTTCTCAACATCTGACCCGTATTTATCTACCCGTATTTATTTACCCGTATATATCAGTGTTCATTAATAAGTTACCTAATATATTAAGCTGGAATCAGTTATCGCTTTTAATATTTGCCATCCTTATAAAGTTTTATACGTAATAGAGGCCATGCTGCAGTTATTAGTAGTATAGTTGTAGCAAGAATGGGTCGGCTCGGCTCGACCGGGGATGGACAACGTTGTCACAGAACACCATCGTAAAATAGTAGCTTAACGCTGCTGAGTTTCGTATGGTGAGTGTAGAGAACCGAAGACCCTTTTTACTGGAAACGAGGTATTCCATCTTAGTCCTTACGGGGGACAACGCATATGCATTTTAATTCGTAATCGAGGATATATGTAGACTACGTCTATGGGCCACAATAACCACTTACCATCAGGTGGACTGTGTGCTCGTTTGTCACCCTATCCTATAAATAAAGTAAAAACATACTCATGATACAAACTTCAAACTTTAGGACTAAAATAACAGATCTAAACGATTTATATTGCAAGTAAGGAGAATAATATAAAAATAAATTTGTCGTTTTTCAAGTGTACATTATCTGTTCTCTTTATATAAAACTTAACGTTTGTTTGTTTGTATTTTACGTGGAGCCATATCGTTCATCAGATTGCGCTAAAAATTTCTCAACTTATATCGCCTGCACTCGCGCGAATGTTATAGGCATAGTACAATTAACTTACAGTAGGTGGCGTCCGTATGGTACCGTCAAAATTTGAAAGTCATACATCATTCAATTTCAATGAATGTGATATCATTCCTAATTAAACAATATCATCCTTCCAAATTTAAAATTATATTTCCACAATTATTTCTTCTACGGCACCGATACGCCTTGTACAAGCCAGTTACAAATAAACATGAAATAAAATATCGCAAAATAAATCATAATAATTACAGGCCTTCACAAGTCCACCGCTGAAGATAAATCTCCCCCAAGGAATGCCACAATGCACGGTGCTGCAGAAAGCATTTCGTATCGCCACCGAGTGATTGTATGGCAAGACATAGTTCCATTTATGTTTTTTACGGGCATTCCATCAATTTTATTTGTCATTTACATTCAATTTTATTCGTTATTTCCATTTAATTTTATTCGATAACGATACTAAAACGTAAGTTAAATTTTTTTGCTAAGAGCACTGTATAATGTGTACCTCTGTTGTCATTATTCAGATGTTGGATTCGATTAAAGCTGTTTCCATATCCAGGAGGTTAATAAATATATGGGTGACTCCAATTTTGTAGGACATTCTTAAAGAACTTTTAGGAATTTAATTACTAAAAATCATGACGAGAACCGGCCACGGGACAGTTAGAAATAGATGTCGAAGAAACAAGTGAACGACGCCGTACAATTTTATACGTGAGCTATTTATGACACAATTTTTGTTCGAGTGTGCTATGCTCGTAAATCACTTCCAATAAGATTTATGGGAGCTGACTATTAATCGGTGTCGAATAAATGTAAATTTCATTCAGTACTTCTGAAAGTACTGTATGAAATTTACATTTTACTTTCTGCTGTATTGTGCATCGGCTAACTTCGTACCTATTTCCAAATGTCTCGTTGGTCTGATGGTTGTTGGTCAGGCCAATAAAACCGTATTTGTTTTTCTGTCAAGAAATTCTCAGTCCCGGATTCAGGTAGTTGGCGGTGTCTCACCCCCGTGCCTCGGAAAGCACGTAAAGCCGTTGGTCCTGCGCCTGATCTCCCTCCGATTGTGACGGTTTACTGTCCCTTCGGACTATAAGAGTAAGGGAATAGAGAGTGCACCTGTGCTTGCTCATACACTTGGGCACTATAACCCTGTCCTGCGCCAATGCGATGGCTAGTCTACGTTGAGACTAGCAATCGACCGCCCGTAACAGAAACTCAGTCTGGAAGAAAGTATTATTATTATTTCCGAATACAATTCCATGAACAGGTAGCTCAAATCGCTGTTTTCGTTTGATCCTAGTCGTAACTGGTTTATTTTCTGCGTCTTGCATGGCTCGGCTTGCAACTTATTGCTGTTCTTAGAAATGATATTGACATTTATTCGTTTGTGATAAAGTTGGAATTACAATGCCAATCATTTTTGTAAAGTACATTAGGATTGTTTACGATGTTTGCCGACGCACAATATTTATTCTGAAGTACAGTACAAACGACAACCCATTTCTAGCACGTTCTGAATTCTATTAAGGAGAATTAATAGGTATTATTAATCTGTGCTATATGTATGTAAATTAAAACGACAACATAAAACAATTACTTTTATTTTTTTTGTTTATTATAATGTAGTGAAGCGGCATACAGCTAGTACACTAATGTACAATGGCGAAGGCGTGGCTCTGAACAAATGTATATTTAATAATTGAAATCATTATAACATAATTAACCGAAACGCGCTTATTGCAAATTACTGCATGTAATTATATGGCAACACTTGGAACATTCGTATACACTAGCGCCACAATTTTGAAAATGCAAAGTAAGTAGCTAAAATCATAGTTATTTAAATATTTAAAATAAAACCAAATAATCTTGTTTTTACTTTTATAATAATTTGAGATACGCTGTATTAACATATTGAAAACAAAACATTTCAAGAGTAAAGATCAACAAATCAACCGTGTTTCAAATCAACTAACACTACTTGCTTACAAGATGCTTTCTGTAAAAAGTTGTGCCCTATTTTAGAATGCTATCCTTTTTATGTATATATTTTGTATTGTAAAATGAGTACAAAGAACCGTCGGCAATAACTTCAAGTAGGTATGCATACACTGAAAACGAAAATTCGAACTTTTATCATGTTGTATTTTTTTAAATTAAACACACACAAATAATTGCAGTTTTTAAAGATTAATAGCTTTCATAAGCATCAATCGTATGCATAGCCCACCAAACCGTCGAAACGCCAAAGTTCCTTGTTAACTTGTCGTGAATGAATACATAAATTTAAAAATATAAATACACCTTGCAGTAAGTCGTTCCTCGAAAGAAGCTTAATTTCACTATAATTGCATAAATTAAGTTAATCAGGAATATAGTAGCATTAGATGTGTATAAATAATTACATTTCTTTAAAACATAAAAGTTATTAAAAATTTGTGCATTCTATTGTACTACAAACCTACCCGTTAAACGGTAAGGGCACTCAGTAATATATATTAGGTTTTATAATACAAATATCTTTCGAGGAACTTGAACATTAAAGACGAATATTATTTTAATGAGTACAAGAACAGCTAATGAGGTAAAGTAGTAAAATTAAAAATAAAGAAAAACACTAATATCGAACTTCCGAAGTTCACAAGGTAACTAAATGTAGTTTTTACACAATACGAAGAGCATAATTATTAATAATCGACTTAAAGTCCTAATTATTATATTTTCACTGGTATATAATATTTCAAGTATCCTCAACAACGCTGCAATGCGCAGAGTTACATCGACGTGTTTGCCAAATAAAGAACAAAATTATTTATTTTAACAAATTAACCTTTTAGAAAAGAAACATTCTTTTCTTGAACAGATTTACCAAAGTACATCTCTAAACATTAATTTAAAAATCTTTATCATTTACAAGTAGCCTCAAATATTATAACAGCAATTATTTTGGAAATTCGTCGATGTAGCTCTCGAAAATACGCACAATATTCAACTTGTAGCATGCAAAAGTGTATTTGAAAAAATATATGGTTATTTGCTTAAATATATCATTCTGGTAACTGTCTATTTTAAAGTGTAGCGTGCGTTAACACCTATTTAAATAATCCTTTTGATAATATCGCTGAATATTTATTTCTAAATAAAAACATCATTCCATAACATAATCGTGGATTAAGCACACCGTCCTCTAAACAATCAAACTTATTTATATACAGTCAAAAATAATTACTCACTATGGCAACACTGTTAACTGTCAACAAGGTTATTGTATTCGCAAACCATGACGTAATTTGTCATTTCTCATTAACACACTAAACAAAATAAAATTCAATCAACCCGTAGCACTTATCATAGATGCTAAAATATTATTTATTTATTCTCCGTACACTTACGAATACCTAACTAACAACTGTCAAAATTGACAGTCTTGAGAGCGGCAAAGTGTGGCAACTCAATTAATTCACAAACGTACCATTATTTTCATACAAAAGATTAAATGCTTCACCTATTGCTCTAAATTCTTAAATAACGTGTTTTCTAATCGGGAAGTAAATATTTTTGTGACTCGCTTACAATTTACTCTTACCACATACTAAATAACTATAACATTGTACTCTAAAAAATATGTATAAGTATCGAAGGCTAATATGAGATTGTGATCACAGTAATTGTTATTCAAGTAACGAGCCCACATCATTACTACACAAAATAAACTTTCTTGCTTCTAGTACAAGGTTCACTATCCAGTGACCGATAATCAGATAACTACCCACATTATATATATACACGAATTCGAAGGCAACATCAGGGTATACTTTATTTATTGCTTTTGTTTATTATTATGTACTTTACATATCACCACATTATATACATTGCAATATTAAGTCATAAGTATTGCGTAATAACAATTTTTGAACTTTCACGAATTGTTCTAAAATATGGAGATGAAGAACAAGTTCAGTCTCAAGACAGTTGTAATAATATTTAGATAATTTGCACGATGCGTTTGTATAATATTTTCTTTATAAATCGATTTTTATGTTTTGATGACACAACATGTAAATAGTATTAATAAGTTTTTTGTTTAAGCTCTGTTATTTGTTCGTATACAAGTTTTTTTTTTTAATATAAGAGTGCTCATCCGATATAAGAGTTAATGTTATTACTCGCTACGGTTGTGACGCAGTCTAATATGTTCCTCTAGTGAGTGCGTATTCTATACAAATAATAAAACACGTATTCTACGGGCATCACTAACAATCACCTAATGACTTGCATAATATTTTACCTACAATATACTCTATATAGTATATATAAATGCAATCTGCAATATGCATAAAACAACAGTTTATTATACCTATAAATTGTATAAAATATTAAATAAAATCTATTGAAGTGAGGTAGATGGATGGAATTTCACAATTTGTGTGGATTTTTTTTAATAATAACGTCGCCGCATTGGCCCAAATGCTGAGGTAGTTGGATGGAATTACTATGTAAGAGGTCCTGCTATGTGACTTGGGACCTTTACATATACGATAAAAAATCACTACTCACTAGTTTTTATCTACTAAATCAATCTCACAAGTGGCGAGTCTGAAATAAAGTGTGATTGCGGGTTACTCTAGTGGATTATACTTCCATGGCATCACAAGGGACAAGCGTAATCTCTCTTTTCATTATTTTATGAGCGTGTATTTGCCACTCTACGAAAGAAACCTTCTCGTATTTAATGAAGCCGTTACCAATTTATTCCTCTTACCAAACATTTGTCAAACATTTCGCTTATGACAATAGTGGGGGAGGGGATGTTTCGATATGGAAGTGCATATAATGATGCAGATACAAAGAGTTAATGTTCTATAAAATAAAGTGTTTCACATTATTCCGACATGGTTACGAGGCTCAGTCGACAACAGCTGGACTATTATACGGGCCCAACCCGTTCAATCTTAATAATATATATTACATGGTTAATGGCACCAACGACATTCCACGGGTCAACAATGAAACCGTTAAAACGAATCAGCTAATGACATAACATAACACTCAAGCACCGTTTGTAAACCATCAACAAAACATTGTCCTTGTCAGTGTTTCGCGCTTTTCTTAATAATGCATCACGCCCGTTATACCATTTCATGAAGAAGCGGTTTTGTTCTCGTCCTCGGAGTAGTCTCCTTCCTCCTGGCCGCTGTGCTCCTGGTCTTGTTCAGTGCTATTAACCCTGTTCCTCTCGTCGTCATTGTATCCTTTGTTGTAATAATCTTTATTTAATTCTTTCTCCATCTCTTGTTTGTCGCCGTCTGCATCGCTGATACTGTCATTCCTTTGTCTCTCTTTTCCAAGATCTAAAGGTTCTTCTGAATCGCGCATAATGTCGGGCTTGCTCATGTTTTCCGTGTACTGTCGCTGCATTTGCTTCAAAAAGCGCTGGTGTGCCAAAGTGGTAGGTGGTGGAGGGAGTGAGCCCATTTGTGGTGAAGGCTCTTCATACGTCTTCCTTTCCATGTGCAATGCGTTCATTTGTGCCAGTTTCGCCGCGTTGATACCTGAAATAAAAGTTAGCATTGAAATTAAGCAAATATTTATAATACTTGCGACCAGCCCTGGGTTGCTATAAGCAGTTACTATTAATGTGGCGTTATATATATTTAAGACAGTTTAAGACCATTTATTTCATAACATTTTCTTTAAAATGTTCAATAAAAAATCTTCTATAAAAAAGTTTTTAGAAGAGAATATAGCCTATATCACTTCCGGTATTGATCACTAACTGTTCTTAAAATGTCATTTTAATCGGTTAAGCCATTCCGAAGTATCAGACAGACAGACACACAGACAAAATGTTTAAAAATGATGGTTTATGTGTTCATGGCATGCAAATGCCTATATACAACATGTAACAAAAACCCTGTGGTTCCCGTTAACTGCGTGATCAGAATCAGTATCCAAGCATATACTTAGTAATAATTATTTTCAAAAAAAAAACATTTAAAAAAATAATTTGCAAATTGTATGTGGTTTTATTATCTCTGCATTGGCAATAAGAGGGTTGTCAAAGACCCCGCATTACCGATACTCGTGTGAGTTAGAAGAAATAAAACCACAATTTGCAAAAATTTTTTTTTCATTAAAATAAATTTTTTTAAATGTGTTTTTTGAAAAAAAAAAATATTTCTATACGCTTGGATACTGATTCTGTTAACACACGGAAGCACAGGGTTTTTGTTACATATTGTATATACCATCAACATATAGGATCACGCTCCCACAGAATACCAGCGTAAAATAGCCGCATAACGCTGCTGTATTTCGTATGGTAAGTGTAGAGAACCGGAGACCCTTTTGCTGGAAACAAGGCATTCCATCTTAGTCCTCACGGGTGACAACGCATCTGCATTTTGATTCGTATTTGAGGATAGATACCATCAGGTGGACGGTGTGCTTTGTCACCCGAACCTATAAAAAATGTACTTACCAACTTAATACTCTTTGCATGCAAATAACCCCTTGTGTTTAATAGAATCCAGTTATTTTAATATATCAGACAGACACTTTAATTTTATTTTTGATTTGGGATTGTTTAAAAATGTTGAATATTTTACAAAATGTTAACTCACCGAACACGTTCTCATTTATGTACTGTAAGTATGTGTCTAGTATAGCTGAGCCACCGCCGAAACCCGGCGGATATTCATCGTGTTTCATAACGCCGCCTATTCCATGCGGAAGATTTTCAACCGTTTTCGCGGTCACAGCTCTGACAGCAGGTACTTTTGTTATTGTGGTGTTGGTCAGATTGTTAATATCTGTAAGAGATGGTTTCACAAGTGTTAATTGCACATCAGAATTTGTAGAAGCATTTTTTGAATGAAACACGTAAATAAATTTTCTACGTTGGGCATTTGATGGTGACAAATGCGGTCATGTTGTCCTGGTATCGCGACTGTGGCTGAGGTATAGACTGAAAAGCGAATAAAAGTTAGCGAGAAGTTAGACTCACGAGGTGGCGACATGGCCATGCTGTCCTGGTAGCGCGACTGGCTGAGGTCGTCATGGTCTGGGTCGCCGCACATCGAACTGGTCTCAGACGCGGCCGACTTGGCGTCCAGCTTGATGTCGGACCGCCGCGGCCCGGTGGGCGATGCTCTTGCTCGGAGTTGTTCCGGGGATACTTTCACCCCGGCTTTCGCGAGCAATCTGGAAGTTACATGTTTGTTTTTATTTAAAATAAAAAGTCGTTGCCTCCACAGCAGGATTTTCTCCTCTATCGTGAGCGTGGTTTGTGTACACATAAATTGCATTAGGCCACATCCATACTCGAAACAATTATTTACATACCATATAAATACTTGTTACGAACCACTGTAAACGCTAAGCCATTGCACTATAGTTTTCAAATTTAAAAAGATTTATATACAAAAAAAAACACATTTTAGCTAAATCTTTTTTAAACCATGCTATATTGGAGAAATATCTCACGTAATATGGAGAAATTTTTCATATATACCTATTAATAGTCTGATACGATAATTCAGTGACTAACATCACTTTTCAAATCAGCAGATATTGAAATGTCAACCTAAAGGATTCATTTAATGTAATAATATCTATGTTAAGGAGATATTTAATTAAATTATTTCCGCACATATTAAGTCTTTAAAAAGTAAAGTAAAACGACATACTATAAATTCCACCGGTGCGTAATTTTAAATGTGGTGACTGTGACTCTTTGGCGACATTTGATGTCATCTATTATTATTTGTATATTATTTAGTATCTATACGTGGTAGAGCCATGCTGCAGTTATATTAGTAGTACAGTTGTAGCACGAGTGGGTCGGCTCGACCGGGGAAGTATCATGTTCTTACAGAATACCAGCAGAAAATAATAGCTTAATGTTGCTGTGTTTCGTATAATGAGTGTAGAGAAACGGAGACCCTTTTTACTGCATTCCATCTTAGTCCTCACGGGTGACAACGCATATGCATTATGATTCACATTATGAGAGGATAGATGTACTTAGATGTCTATGGGCCACAGCAACAACTTACCATCAGGTGGATTGTGTGCTCGTTTGTCAGCCTATCCTATAAAAAAATTCTGCTATCAAATAGCAGTGCTGGCATTACTGTGTTACGATGTGAAGGGTGCACATGGCTAGTATAATTAAAGGCTACGTGACATTCTAACTTAACGCCGTAATCGTATTTATTTGAAGTTAGTTGCAGGTGTCCAAAGTTGCAGTAGTCACCGACCAGCAGGTGGACCATAAGTTCTTTTGTCTCTTCGGTTTAAAAAAAAAGAAAATTGTGTATCATCAATCGTCAATCTGTTTAATAATATAACAATACATTTGATCTAGAATTCTATCGCTCCTTCTTATTCATTCATCATCATCATTATCATCAGTTCGTAACTTTTACTGTTTTGTGAAGAGTTGCTGTATAGCCATGCTTGCATGCATGCATGGCTATTCAGTGAATATAAGGTGTATTGGCTGTTGACGATGCCCCATAATGCTGATCTAGGTATTTTACACCATGAGATCATTGTGGCACTTTATTTTGGATAAGCTATCTAGCCATAACTGCAGCAGCATCGTTTGGACAAGATATGCTATGAACTCTTATGCCGCTGCCGATACAAACATCATTGTATAAAAGTGTAAATATTTAAAAAAAATACCTCCACACCAAATTTCGGTCATGGCGGTAAGTCTTAAGGAAGACTAGTCTTCTGCGCAGGGCAGGTTTATAGTGCACGAGTGTGTGCGCAAGCACAGGTGCATTCTTTATTCTCTCACTCTCATAATCCGATGGGATGGCAAACCGACCGGAGAGAGATGAAGCGTAGGACCAATGGCTTTGGCTTTACTTGCTTTCCGAGGTTGGAGTTAAAACATCACATACTTCCTCACTCCTGGCTACTACTGAAAATTTATTGACAAAAAAACCCAACAACAGATTTTGGCCCGATCCGGGATTCGAGCCCGGGACGGGCCAAAATCTGTTGTTGGGACGGGATTGCGGGATGATCAGCAATTCCGCTTCCGCCCACTTATGAAGCAGTGGACTAAAAAGTGTTAATATAGTGTCGGTCCCTCGCAAGTTTCCGCCGTGGTCCGGCGCAGGTGTGGAAATCAAACTTTGTGAAGACTCACTGGCTGGCGAGCTCGGGGTCGAAGCGCGTGGGCATCTGCAGCACGGGCAGGTCCTTGGTGGAGATGCCGCGGTGCTGGCGCGACATGTGCGAGTGCAGCGAGTTGCGCGACTTGGCCACCGTGCCGCACAGCACGCACCTGCCACACAACCGCTTTAGTATTAATTTATTTCTTTCTTATTAAACAATATGTGCTAGAACCACCCGCCCTGCAGCTATATTATGCTTGTAGAACGAATCACGCTCTTACAGAATACCAGCGTAAAATAGCAGCTTAATGCTGCTGTATCGTATGGCAAGTATAGAGAACCGGATACTCTTTTTATTGGTAAAGAGGCTTCCATCTTATTCCTCAGGGGTGACAATGCACCCATTCTAACAAGTGTCAGGTAATTTAAACCAAAACAGAAGTACTATTTCTAATAACTCGATTATCAAGATGCACTATATATATATATATATATATATATGAATGTTGTATTTATTCTATTGTCCTAAAACGTAGACTAGGATAGACTGGAGAGATGTAGATGGATGATGAAAAACACTCTCAACTCTAAACTGATTAAACCACTTACCGTTTTAATCATGTGTAGTGTTCGCGTAAATATAAGAAATCATTGCACTGCCAATTTTTTAAGGAAAATTAAATACGGTTAGAGAATAAATTTAATAACTTTTTATGAATAATTATTAAAAACTTTTTTGCACATCATACACATTGCACTTGAAGTAAGTGCGTATTGTAAAACGAAATGTGAGTTATGAAATTAATATCTCTAATTCATGTGCAGCAAAAACGATATGACCTATTTATATTATACATAAAATAACATAATACCATTATTTAAGGATATACGAGGACGGCACTGAAAATTTCGGGAATCAAGGAAGTGACACATTACTATTTAAAAATGTATTTATTGCTTTTCGAAGTATTCTCCGCGAAAATTGACACATTTTTCCATACGATGGAACCAATCATTGAAGCAACCATTCCATTCGGAAGTTGGGGTCTCCAAAATGGCCGTTTTGTAGGCGTCCACAGCTTCTTCAGGTGACGAAAATCTCTGTCCACGCAATTTATTCTTTATTTTAGGGAAAGTATAGAAATAATTAGGTCGGTGCTGTACGGCGGATGGTCTAATAATTCTATGTTTTCTTGCTCTAAAAACTCTTTTGTTCGGTGTGCGGTGTGAGAACTCGCATTGTTGTGATGGAGGATGATGCGGCGGTTGCAGTTTTCTTTACGGAGTTCAGAAACGACCTGTGGCAAACAAATGCTAGCATACCATTCTGCATTAACCATTCTTTGTCCCTCAAGAGGAATAGTCGTAACATGGCTGGTTTTGGGAGACAAACGTGGCCACCATTTTTTTTGCAACACTCCGTGAACGAACAATTTTTGTTGGCTTTAACTCATTTCCGAACACCCAAACTCGTGACTGGTTTTTTGTTTCGGGTTCGTACGCGTATATCCAGGATTCGTCACCTGGAACGATGTTGTATACAGCATTTGAGGATCCTGCGTGGAATCTTTCGAGAGTTCTGACGCACCAAGTAACGCGAGCCGCTTTTTGCTCTTCACGGAGCAAATGGGGTATCCATCGGGAAAACAACTTTTTTACAGCTGATTGTTCATGCAAGATTATTTGTATTTGACTCATGCCAATGTCTAAAGTTGCCTGAATTTCGCGGTATGTCACATGTCGATCTTCCTCAATCATCTTACGCACAGCATCAACGTTTTCATGGGTGACTGCAGTTTTTGGACCACCTCGACGGGGATCATCACAGAAATTCAGCAAACCAGCGATAAATTGTGGTTTTGGATGAGGCTTCATCACCAAATGCAGAAATTATCCGGTCAACACACTGTTTTTGTGTTAAACCACTTCGAAAGTCATAATAAATCATCGCTCTGGAATTTTCTCGAGTCAATTCCATTTTCTCAACGACTAAACAAGTTTGACAAAACCTTGTGACAAGACCGAGAATCTTTTTTTTAAATAAATAAATGGTATTCGATTTTTAAAACCAAGGCGTTAAAAAGATTTTAATATGACAGGAACAGTGGAAATATTCCATTCCCGATACTTTTAGCTTTTAGTGCAGCCCTCGTAAGTAATGTAATTATAAATTGAATATAATTATTTATTACATCCTTATTTATACAAGGTTAAGCAAAATATGATAAATTTATATCCTAATTTAATATCCACTGTGTGGATATTAGTGACAGCCAACTTATTAACTTGCATGCATAAAGCAAAATATGCATGGATAAAGAGCACAGAGAGAGAGAGTGAGAGAGGTTTTTTTACCAAAAGAATTATTCGAATAGAAGGATTATCTGATTATTAAATCATGGTTCGGTACTACATTTGTCAAGCACTATGTGTGCAATGTACACGTTTAAATTACAAACTAACATTAGTGAAGGTTCCGTTAAACTGTGACTATTATAGGCAATGAAAATGAGATCAGTACCTAGTGTGGTTGAACAAAAAAAAATTGTGCTTTTTAATAATAAATGTGTGTTTTTTTCACTGACCGATATCCAGGGCAGACAGTGTGCTTATCTTCTAAATGTGTTCGCAGAGTGTGAGCTGAGCGGTAAATTTTGCCGCACTTAGGGCACGGTCGCGGGTCTGTTGCACGTACACGCAGTAGGTCTTGAGTCCGTCGACAGCCTCCTGCCCAACATAAATGTATAGATTACAATATTATGTTATTAAAGTCTATTTATTCAAAATAGATTTCTTACCTTTTGTAACATTCAGAATAGTGTTTAGTATGGTTAGTGGAGTCAGTTAGTGTCGGTAGCGCTTCAATAATTCGGTAAGAAAAACGCAACAATTTTCTACTTTGTAGTTTTATTATGTGTTTATATAAGCAGACATTTCCCTCGGATAAAAATTAAATTATTACGTATATATCGTATCACTAATACAAATCGCAACTAGAATCGTTTACTCACATTGAACATTTGGTTAATTGAGATGCCTAAATTTACAATGTTTTACACTTAAAAATATTTTTATATTTATTATAATCAATAAGATATACGACTTTGCCTCACAGGCGGTCAGGAACAATTTCATCTACTCGCTAATTTTTACCAATATTTTTTATCGTATCGTCATAGAGATCTATGGTAACACTTTCTATCGCATATATTTTTATAAAAGAAGGCGTTATGGTGGGCGATGCAGTCATAGCTACCTATTTCAGTCTTCTTGACATTTAGAATTTAATACAGCGGCACATTATTTTTCATCTGTGTATATAGATTAAAATTGTTTATTTATTATCTGTAAAATCATTTAACAGATAATAAATAAAAAAATTGTTATCTTTTTAGGAGGTATTTCAATTATTTCGGATTTAATTGTTCACGAAAAAGATTTTGGAACTGCCAAGTAATTCTGCTTGTGTTAATAAAATACATAAAAGATAAAAATGGTACAACTTCTCTATTCTACTTAAAACTAATTTGATGGAAGCGCTTTAACATTTAAATCTTAATTACATTACGTGACACATACTTGGTGTCACTCCGTTGCCTGAATAGGAAAAAATATATGCGATGGAAACTTGCTTATTTTATATACATGCCTAAATAAATCCATCATGTATCTCGTACGTTCTTCTACAATGACTAGATATGTGTTATATTGTGCACTTTTGCTTACAGGCCGTCACGATTGAACATGTACAAAAAATAATACTCTATAAATGGAAGTAAACGTATGCTTAACTATTGCGTTTAAAGGCATTCGACTTTTTTTTTAAATCTATTTTGTATTGTCTTATCTATGGTCGAAAATATAAAGGTCGGTACACACAGGTGTCTGTACATAGAAACAAGCGGCGGTATGGCTGTCAGATCAAATTGTCACATTAGGAACTATCGTCAGGTCTAATTCTTTTGTCTAAGTCTTTAAATTTAAAAAATAATTATGAAGTTATTCTTATATCGAATAGGCTGTTTTAAGAACTAAAAAGCAATATGGTGCAAAATGTAATAAGTATCTATTTCTATCATATTTGACATACCGCTGATGCTTTGAAACGATAGTAATGAAAAATGCCCCGATTAATCTTGTAGGTGTTAAAACCAAGAAGTGAAAATTGAGAAGAATAATATGAGCATAAAATCAATAATCAAATAAAATATTCGGGACATCTTTACAGTTATACAGATGTAAGAATAACAATGTATATAAGTACTGTTGAAGCAACAATGGAAGTTACAGACGCATTCAAGAAGTCCTAGAATGATCACACCTTCAGTTGCATTTCATAACCTACCAATGGCACCAGTCATCACAAGTTATAATGCGCTTATAATAACTATAGCTAAAATACACTGGAACAACTGCCGACTCATATTTATAATATGACGCGTTCTTTAAACGTTTTTTTAATCATTTTACGTTAGTTATATAAAAATATATTATGTTTGTTAAACTTTCTAATATTTAAGGTTATATGGTTACATAAAAGTAGATATTATATACAGTCGCGCAGATGTGTGATGCGAACATAAAAAAATATTATCCAGCCTGAACAATAAAAATTCTACAGGGCATTTTGTGCCGTCGACTGTACAACGGGTAAATGATCGTGTATATGTCACCTATTGTTCATTAAGCCGTCAAACTGCCACAGTGTATCTAAGCCGTACTTAAACAATATCAGTCTATTCTACTACAAAAATAATTTTCAGTCGATTTACTCTACCGCTATATACGTCGTAAACGCGAATAAATCACTGTATGAAAATGCATGATGGAGATCGTTCACCATCTCGTAACTTTCGGAATCGCACTTTTAAGTCGTTTTCACGGTCGCGTCTGTGAATCGGGGTTCGCCGGGGGGCAACGCTAGTCGGCCCAGCCGCAGCTCCACTTAAGGGTTTTCATGCGCTCCCACTGGCGGCGGTGCTTTATCCTCATGTGATTGCGGACCGAGGTGGGGTGCGCGAAGTGGCGCGCGCACGCTGCCACCGGGCACACAGGGCTGTCGCGCGGGTAGTGCGCCGCCAGGTGTCGCCGCGCCAGCCCTGGCGAGCCCAGACGCGCGCCGCACAGCGGGCACACGGCCCCGCCCCCCGCCCTACCCCGCGCGCCCCACACGCCACACACGCCTCGCCCACCATCTGCAACGCCGACACTCAGTTACACGATGCGCACGCAACCGTGGCCGAGCGCGACCCTACCCGTTCGTTCCTAACGACGGACTTTAAACTATCGCAGTATACGCGGTCACCAATGGAAGGCGAGCGGGTCGGCCGGCACCGGGAGCTCGGCGTCGCTCCGCTTCTAAGAGTTCTGCCGCTGGCGGATCCCGTGTGCTTGTAGCTGGTGGTTGATCAGGTAGTGCTTCGTTTTGCACCGCTTGCCGCAGTGCTGGCACGGGAACCACTGGTCGCGGTCGGTCTGCGAGTGCACATTGAGCATATGCTGGCGCAGGTTCGACGTCGAGGAGTACACGCGGCCGCAGAGCGGACACTGCGGCCGGTAGCCCATCGCCGCCCCGCCCGCGAGGGCCGCCCCTGTAACACAGAGGCGGCGGTTAGAAGTGGCCGAGGTGGGAGGGGCGCTAGTGCGCGGGGGTGGGGGGTCGCGGACGGGGCGGTCGCGCTCTCTGGCGGAGGCCATGGATGGAGTTCATGTGTATCTGCATGTACTGGCGCGTCCTGAAGGGCTTGCCGCAGGCTGGGCAGCGGTGCTCGCCGCCGGGCGAGTGCACGTTGAGCAGGTGCTGCTTGAGGTTGCTGGCGTTGCTGTAGCGCTTGCCGCACGCCGGGCACGCGGGCTTGCCAGCGCCTGCGCACACGGACTCGCTTCAGTGCTTCCGTCCCTCTCCCGCGCACGCTACGCATCTCCCGTCCCTCTCCCGCGCACGCTACGCAAGTCACCCGTCCCTCTCGACGCGACCTACGTACCGACGCAGTGCCGTTCCTGTTTCTCCGCGGTGACGGATCGTTACGTAACTTCCATCGTTGCTTGATATTACTATTGCCCTAATCTAATACGAATCGCAAGAGGGACGTTTATCTAACGTTTTTAATAGCGCATTTAATTTGTGTTAAAATTGTTATTCGATCGTTAGTAAGTACATGCAATACATGACTCGATAATGTGCAATTAATGATGTAGTTGATTTCTTTTCTGTCCTCAATATCGTTACCTTGTTAATTACTTACTTTATAGATGTCCATCGTATTTAATAATTTTCCAAATTGTTGTAATTGTTCTTCACTTTAATATAACACGAATTCATAATGCGTCATTTTCGAGCCATATAGTAAAAAAAAGTTAAGTAAATAAAAAGTTACTCACCGAAATTATCAGGTATCCCCGATGGCCCTGGAAGGCCGGGAAAACCTGCAGACAAATAAGTAACTGAATGTTTATTAGGTAAATATTTGTGAATAAAAATAATATCTGATTTAATTATAATAATCTGACTTGTACGTCTATCTAGTAAAATTTTTTACAGTCAAATTTAAGAAATTAACAGTAAAAATAGTCGGTTTACAGATTGAAAACGAAGTTAATAAAACAGTAGCAATGGGGCTGAATATCTCTCTGAATTTGACAACTGTTGTATGAAACACTTGTACCAATAAATTGCGCTAAGATGTAGCTTCAACCTGGTGGGAACGTGCCAGGTCAATAACATAGATTTTTGGTTAAGGTTCGACTAGGGTGGTTGACGTGCCACTTTAACCGACTGCCGCTGGTATTACTTGATAATGCTTTGCTTTCATATTTTTGACAAATTTAACAGAGTCCATAGTTATTATATTATTCGGACTTAGCCCAACAAAATATCATCTAGCGATCCATGTAGAATTCGGAGCTGGATGCTGGTGGTCTGTGTTTACAGAGCATCATCATTCAATACGTGCTTGTATGAATTACCATGCTCTTTAATGCATGTATGCTTGTATAGTGCATATAAAATGTAGGTATGTATTGTTTAATTTACCTATATTTTAAGAGGTAATCCTAGTGTGGGGGTAATATACATACATACATAAACACTCACGCCTGTCACCCAGAGGGGTAGGTAGAGACTACAGACTTCCATTTGGCACGATCCTGACACACTTCTCTCGCCCACCTCCACATCCATATACCTACGCATACATGCTCGTCGGTTAAGGGTACTCTTAATTTGGCCCATTTTCAATATATCGCCAATTTGGTCGATAAACTTTCGCCTAGGACGTCCCTTTCCGACTCTGCCGTTCACTTCTGCAACATAAATTTGCTTTGTCACTTTTTCCTCATTCATTCTTTCTACATGACCAAACCAATGAAGCATTCCTTTCTTAATCCTCCTCACAACATCATCTTGCATCTTGTGGGGGTAAAGTTAAAAAAAAAGAAATTAAACAGCTAAGCGTGTTGTAAGCTGCCTGCTGTGAGTAATTTTACTTATTCTGGGCTAAGCACGTAGTTTCCCAGACGTGTCTTACGTTTGAGACGCATTAAGGGTCCATAATGAGTAAGGTTGTGCGGAGGTGTTTCTTCGAGTAGAGTATCGGCACATCCTTGAGTTGCTTAGTCCCAAAATGGGCATGTATGTAATTTTGAGATGAGATCTTGGTCAGCTCAGCCCCATTTTTTCATAAAATATATTCAAAGCTTATTAATTGGAGCTCTAATATTTCTCATCATAATTCCCGTACTTAATTGTATCTACTACCCGTGCGGATAAAAAATGGGATTGAAAATGACGTCCCGACTATTCACCTCTCGCTCGCACACTATCACTATCTATACTCACACCCGTCGGTAAAGACTGCAAAAAAAAATACGTAGCGATATACGTTTTCTGTGCGTTCTTTAACTTCAACTTGTCAGTGATAACAAAATACCATAAACTACAAAAAATTCAATACAGTTTTGCTAATATGTAAGCTACGACCTGTTCCGAGAGTTTTCTTCATAATAATTATTGTTGATTTTGTTAGTTAATATTTTTGTATAAAATATTTACAAGCCATAGAGATATTTTGAATCGAAAAATTTAGAGATTTTATTAAAATAGAAATATTGATAAGATAAAATAAATGATGTATAATGATTATCTTAAGCCATCAATTGGATCACACCCAAGCGCTTCTCCTCACATGCGTATACAATTCATTTTAAATATTGTTACATTAACAGAAAATTTACGAGCAGTCGAATGATATCACGTTATAACGTTATATCGTTATTAGCGTATCACGATATTATTTTATATTGTTATTATCGGGTTTTTGATATTGGTACTTTTTGTATCTTATTGTACGGGCTCGATGAGCCGCCATTTCAAAGCCATTCTTTATCCGTACAGACTAAAGCATATCTATTCTTAACTGTCATCATCTTATGTTTTTAGTTTTGTTTATTGTTTCCGTTTACTTGTCTAAATTAAGTACACCTTGTACAACTTCGGGTAAGGGTCAGGTTGTCATAGAATACAGGTTTAAAATATGTTTCGTTTAGTGAGTGTAGAGAATGCCGTTTGAGTAAAAAATATGAAAGTGGCATTCCGTTTTAGTCCTCAGGAATGACAATGCTTCTGCATTTTGTTTTTTAAACTAGGAGAAATATAGATGTGTATGGGCCTCAGCATCGCTTAAGGTGGGTCTACGTTAGAGGAGCTGAGCACGAGCTGAGCCGCTCTACTAGCGGTGTCAAATGTGGACGTACAACGCAACGAGCTTACAACATGCAATTTAATGCATGCGATCCTTTTGTGACTGTCAAAAAACCGATAATAGGCGGAGCACAGTCGAGCACGAACCAAACGCTCGAAGCGCGCGCGTTCGAGGCTTGTAAGTCGGTCCACATTACACGAATTCGTGCTCAGCTCATGCTCCGCTCGTGCTCGGCTCGACTAGCGTAGACCCACCTTTAGCATCAGGTGGAGTGTGCAGTCGTTGGCCGCTGTTACTGTATAACAACAAGAGGTTACCCGGCAGGTTGAGCAGCGCGGGGAAGCCATGCGGCAGCGTGCCGTTGGCGTGCAGCGCGGCGCCGGCGCCGGCCTCCTCGTAGTCCGGCTGCTCGGGCTTGGCGCGCGTCTCCTCCGCGTCGCTGGCGCCCGCGTCAGACGACGACTCCTCGCCCTCGCCCTCCCCCTCGCCCGACCCAGACCCGCACTGCGGAACAATACACTCTGTATTCATACATGTACAACTAACTCTACTGCCGTTATATTATTATGCTATGTATACTTCTTTGAATTGTAGTTTACTTTTACTTTACTTTTAAAATAAGAATATTAACAATGCTATAAACATTACTAATATTTCCCTTAACCACTCATGGTAACCTTAAATTGCTTGTGTTACGAGTGGTTCACGCCAGTAGTCGAATGGTGGATTCGACTACTGGCGAATTACCCACGACCTTTGTGAGTTCGCGGTCCGCGCCCTGCCATTAGGCTACTGTCGCTTATGATCTGTTTAGATCATCACAATTATACTTTTATATATAAATAATACATTGCAATCATTTTTTTTATCTGCATCGCGGAGTCAATCTACGTACAAAAATTTCACAAGGACAAACATCTAAACACGGTACAATAATTCGTAGGCCCGCATAAACTAAATCTTGTTCCGGGCGCGATTCAAACCCGCAGCTCTCAGCGCTGCAACTCGTTGCTACTTGCTAAGCCACTGCGTCACGGAGTCGTCAAAATTTTTCTATTGCTTTATTGATCATGGAAAGTCATGTTGGCTAACCACGCTGATTTAAAATTCATCATTTTTACCTCAAACCCTGACAATGTAGAAAGCGAATTAACTCACCAAGTTATTAGAGATGGCAGTTAGATGTGGGTTTTGGGTGTTGTCAAGTGCGTGCGTGAAGAGGCCCAGGTCGTGTCCGTTGGTGTGCAGACCCTCGGGGCTGGCACCCTGTGCCGCAAGCAGTTGCTCCGTCCTACACCCGTAAATCGTACATCTTATAAGCAAACGACTTTTTACCATCAGTCAAGTATATTGTTTATGCAGCAGTGTACTTGATTGTGAATGTGTGTCTCTCTTAAATAAGACAAACAAAGAAATTAATAAAAACTCACGTTAAGGGACACATAGCTGATGTAAAGATTCGACCCACCGGGAAATCTGCACTCTGTGAGCAGCAGCATCTTTCTGTTAACTACTCAAAACTTTTTCAGTTAACTGCCCAGTGTGGCAACCATGGCGAAACCCCTATGAGGTAATCTATGGGGAAGGCTTTTGTTCAGCAGTGGACTTCAGGCTATAATGGATAGATGGACGATAAAATAAGGGCAACGAACGAACACACAGACCACGTGATGGTGAGTGGATGCTGTAGCCCATAGATATCTATCCTCCAAATGCAATTAATCAAAATGCAAATGCGTTGTGACCCTTGAGTACTAAGATGAAATACCTTGTTTCTGGTAAAAAGGGTCTCCGGTCTTCTTCTCCGGTCTACTCACCATACGAAACCCAGCTGTCCTTTCCCGGTTGAGCCGAGCCATTCGTGCTACAACCATAATATAGCTGCAGCATAGTTCTATCAGTGTTCCACGGAACACCGGTAAAAGCACCTATTATAGGACTACCCCCGTACTTTAGTATCGATATAAAAATATAGGCACGGCAGTGTATCTTTATGATATATTTAATCTTTCTGGCACGTTCGACAAATAAAGTTATATGGGATATCTAAATGTTGGTTGTGTCACATTCGACAAATGAAACTAATGGCCAAATACTCAAATGCTCCTCAATTTAAAGTGATAGAGACGGCACGAAACTTAACTGTATCTGAGCATAAATCGGTTCCGTAAAATATTGTCAGGTGAGACATATCCAACAAAATTGTAATATTTCATTCAATATATTAAACAATGTCGGTTGTGGCACAACCGACGTAACAAAGTTGGAGTGTTGAATAATAATGTCAGATCTGCCTGAACCAACATTTATAACATCATAATATGTAATTTTTTTGTTAAAATTACATGTATACTGATGAATGATGCTATTATAATAGAATCGACGTGGAAAACAGATAGCAGACGTATTACATAAAGCCAATCGATTATATCCGCATGACATTGCGAATATGACGAAAATGCAATGAATTTTTACGACCCGCGAACGAGGATGAGTTTTGCATATTTAAACGCTCCGGGGCCGATCTCTACCCGACGCTCACCGGAGAACATTTGTAAGCACGTGTAATATAATATATTCCGTTCAACTGCCTAAAATGATAATGTATGGCTTTATGATTAATGTTTCATATGTGTTTGTATCGTTGTAGGGAAAGACTACGTTTAGTGGTTATTTGTAATGTTTGTAAGGATCTTAAAGTATTTACGACAAATCCGTATGTCGCGGTTTAGGTTATTAGAGCTTAGTGATGCGTTTGGGATTATCAGTGTTTAGTGAGGCTTGAATTATAGACCTAATTTATAATAAGGGCCTTTGTACACATATATATATAATCAAAGACAGGTATATAATCAAAGGTTGGTACTTATTAAACTCTTGCTTATTTCTGTAGCCCAAGTAGCAGGTCTACCGTCTATGGTTTGAAGGATAAGATAACCAGCATAATTATAGACGAAATTATTTCATATTAGTCCTTAGGGGTGAAAACGAATCTGCGGTCTTCATTGTAAAAAGGTGATCACAGGTGTCCGGGGACAGTAGCTATTTAACATCAAATGGAGCTCGTTTATCATTCATTCATATATTATAAAAGAAGAACAATTTTACTCTTTCTTATTATGGTTGTAGAACGAATGGGTCGGCTCGACCGGCGTATTACCACGCTCAGAATACCAGCGTGAAAAAGCAGCTTAATGCTGTTGTGTTTCGTATGGTGAGTGCAGAGAACCGGCGACCCTTTTTACTGGAAACGAGGCATTCCATCTTAGTCATTAGTTGCATCTGCATTTTGATTCTTAATTAAGGATAAATGTAGAAGTCTATGGGCCATAGTATCAACTTACCATCAGGTGGACTGTGTGCTCGTTCGTCATCCTTACTTTTTTTCATACTTTATTTAAATAATGCAAAATATTTATATACAACGTTACTTACTAGGTTAATTAATAGTAGGACTTTTACTGCCTAGGATTCCGACTGTATCCTATTCAGTGTTGCCGTTTCAGAGCATTTGGCTCTAGGTCTAGTGCAATGCTAGGGTCTACAGCGCTTTTTTAAACATCTACACGCTAAAAGTATCTAATCTACTGGTCTACTAGATATTTTCAGCATGTGGATATTTAAAAAAAGTGCTATAGACCCTAAAATAGCACGAGAACAGTCAAATGCGCTGAAAAGGCAACACTGATCCTATTACCAATTTCTGCCGCCAGATAGCAGTGCTTGCACTACCGTGTTCCGGTCTAAGCGAGTCAGTACAATTACGCACCAGTAGCGTTCTTTGTTTGGAGTTGAAGGTGTCCGTTGACCGCAACAGTGATTGAGTTGTTTATCATCAGGTGGACGGTTAATACATGTTTGTCACTTCAGTTTTATAACAAGTGGTAAAATAAAAAAAATGTACAACCGACTTCAACATGACCGAATTCAATGTCTTCGAAGTCAATTAAATACACATTATTAAAGATAACTCAAGAACTACTGGTAAGATCTTGATTAAATTTATATGGAACCACACGAGAAGCACCATCTTTCAAGAATAGTCGGTAGTCCTACACTCAGAGAATAGTTAAGAGGTAACACACACATAAAAAAATTGGTTGACCCTGCAGGCCATCCCTGAAACTTCCTGTTAATTTCAAATGCAAAGCGCTCCAAATTTCCCCAAATTATGTTGCGAAACCTTGAAGTAATGTTTAAAAAAAAACGTTTTTTTTTCAATTTTTTCTCTTTCGATATCACACGAACGAATGAACCGTTTTTTTATTTTCCAAACGGCATTCGACGTTATTTTTTGAGGTTAAGAGCTGATTAGTTTTTGAAATCGATCGGTAAAGCCGCTTAAAAGTTATTCCAAAAAAAAACAGTTTTTCAAAATTTTTTATTTTTAAGATTTCTCAAAATCTATTCGTCCGTATCGGTTCATATTATCACTAAATCTATTCCACATTGATATATTTAGAACGCCGCAAATCAATTGATCAAGACGTTCAAAAGTTATGAAAGGTTTACATACTTACACGCACACATATACATGCATACATCCGTATGGACGTCCACGTGAAATTAGTCAGAATAGCTTCCTGGGATCTGAAAACGTCTAGATCTGATGAAAACTCGATTTTCGGAAATCGGGAAATTTGAAACCAATAACTTCCCCACTTTTTAAAAAATTTCAATTTTCTTAGCGGGAAGTTAAAAAAAACATACAGTTGAATTGAATACGTCCTCTTTTTTGAAGTCTGTAAAAATAATCTAAACGCAAAATTTATTTCTATTCTTCCTTGAGCTCTCGTCTAGTTGTTAGGCAGTGACCCGTGTATCAAGCGGTCACCGCTCAGGTCAGGGCCGCGTGATCAATTCGCGGTTAGCGTGGAAAATGGAGGAATAATGATAAGCCATAGACGCATAGAGTTGTTGCTGAAGTAGTTAAAGCCGCGAAAGAAGACGCACTTTATGTTCCTGATGCGCATTACTTGAGTACAAAAAGGGGAGAAGTTCTTCACCGAGGACGGACTGCCAATGGCGGCCGGCGCCGGTGGGACAGCGAATGTGTGCGAAAGCACTATGCAGCCAATATGGAAAAGCGGCTGAGATGGAAAACCATGGGGTTTTAGTCGGCGAGACTCTGACATAATCCGTCTTTATTTCACGTAGAAAAAAAAAATGGTACGCACCTGGTCTTCATCTGCGCCTGGTAGAGGTCCGAGGAGCGAGCGCGTTTTGGTGGTGGGGTGCTGGCCGCGCCCTCTTCTGGACGTCGGGCCCTCCGGCCCTCCCGTGCCTGACCTTCCCGCCCCTCTCGTCCCTCTCGTCCTTCACGCGACGCGCTGCCCTCCGTCCACGACGACGCGGACTGTCGGGTTATAGATAGGTTTACTTAAATTGCAAAAGAATTCTCTTATCATTAAAGTATATTTGACCAATCTTTGTACTACACTACTACTAGTACTAGTTCTAGTTCGACGTACTAGAAGAGACGCCGAGACTTGGTTGTGTGCAACACACGTTTGAGCCCATGGGCTCAAACTTATCTAGTCTGTGTCATAAAAATTTCGTACAGATTTGGCCGCGGTGTCTGTTCTGGTAAGTAATATGATAATTACTTCAATCAATCTTATAACGAAATAATAAACAGCGTATTAAGTAGTTATATCTCCTAGTGTTGGAGCGTTATCGATTTGAATCCGAAATAGTTTTTGGAAAAACTTATTGTTATTCCGATTGAGGGAGTAGTAGATTTACAATTTTGTAATAAAATGAACTGTATCAATGCTGTTAGTGTTCCGAATAAAATAAATAAATAAAATTTCTGTATTTGTAAAGGTTAATAGAAAACAATAAACAAAGTTAAACGTTAGGATCGATAGGGTGACAAACGAGCACACAGTCTACCTGATGGTAAGTGCTTGCTGTGGCACATAGACACCTGCATGTATCCTCGATTACGAATCAAAATGCAGATGCGTTGTCACGCGTGAGGACTAAGATGGAATGCCTCGTTTCCAGTAAAAAGGGTCTCCGGTCTCTACACTCACCATACGAAACACAGCAGCATTAAGCTAGTATTTGACGCTGGTATTCTGTGAGAGCGTGTTCCTTCCCCGGTCGAGCTGACCCATTCGTGCTACACCTATACTACTAATATAACTGCAGCATGGCTCTACCACGTATAAACGGCAATGTAGCGTAATATATTCTAAGAATTTGTCGGACAGGTAAATTATCTTCAATGAGATCATTCATAATTGTACGGCAAAGAGAAAGTCTGTGTTTTACGCGGACACGGAGTCCAGCCATGAGTCATTGATAGGTGAAATTTACGTAGATCTTATACGCACATAAGTCTTGATTTCGTAAGCCGTTTGCGGTATACCGTCACTTGTAATCCTTATGCGGCCATTTAATTGGATTGTTTCATTCTCGTAGTATTAGAAGAAACTATTACTTATTTATGTAGGTGCATATTATTGATCGTCCTTTTTATACGATTCAGTATTAAGGAAAGAAGAGCGAATGAAAATGTGTAGTGGATTAGTCAATCTGCATCCTGATGGGCGGAAAGAATATCATTAAAAAATTGAAATTTTTAATGTAACTATTTATACAAGCGGTAAAATTAAAAAGTTTGTACCACCGACTTCAATATAAATAAAATAAGAACAACATCAATGTATTCCAAGTCAAAAGATAACTCAAAAAGTACTGGTCAGATCTTGATCAATTTATGTGGGACCACATGAGAAGCGCCAGCTTTCAAATAAAAATAGAATCATCACAATCGGTTTACCTAGAAAAAAGATCTCAAGTAACACACATTAAAAATATAGCCGAGTTGAGAACCTACTCCTTTTTTGAAATCGGTTGAAAAAAAAAGCAAGTAGAAGAAAGAAGTTAGCAAATATAAAAATAAACAATCCTCACATCTACGTGTTTCATTTAATATTTTGATTTTTATAAAAGCAAAAATTTATTTTATAAATTGTGACTGTGATTCACAAACATGTAAAAGTCAATGACACTCATTATAAGGCACTTGCGGAGGTGGCTCTATCTGTTTGGTGCTTGTGCTATATTTTCCATAAAAATATTTATATAATAATAGAAAATATTATTTATGGAAATATAGCAAGGAGCACAAGATAATATAATTTAAAATATACGTTGATTTGTGTTAGGATTACACTAAGTGATGGGCCACTCAAGGATTTTCGCCTGTGTAAGTTTTTAAGATATATCTTCCGTTAGGACCTTTCCTGATTTGTCGGTAGGATAGCGATACAACATGGATCAGGGCATGGATCGAGTAATGTATTAATAACTACCCTGACCTCCTAAAAGACATAATATATGACTCACGGAACAATGAAATGGTTAAGGATCATACGCTAGGCATCTCTCGCATTCGTCTCCTAAACATCAGTTATTTGTGTTGCGAATTATACTCATATTTATGCGTGTAGACGTCTGCCAGCACCAATACAAATCGTTTTGCGGTTTATTGGTGCTGTAACTATGTACTCTGGTAATAAGTTTTATGTATAATTCAAATAAATTAAAAAAATCTAAGTAATCAATTAGCGATTGCGTTAACATAGTTCCACAGTTAACAAGTTTCGACGGCTCCGCGGTGCAGTATGTTAGCAATGATTGGAGCGCTAAGGGCCGCGAGTACGAATCCCGCACGGAACAACTATTTGTTTGGCCTACAAATAATTTTCCCGGGTCTGGATGTTTATGTCCTTGTAAAATGTACATGTATCTAAACTGCCTCCACGATACAGGAAAAATCCTAGTGTGGATATGTAACGTTTAAACAAGCAAGTTTAACTAAGTTACCGGGGATGCTTTCTGGTCCAGTGTGGGCAGCGGCGCTGGAGGCGGGACGTCGGTGAGGCCGCGCACCTGCAGCAGTTGCGCCGCGCGCAGGAACTCTTTCAGCTGTTCCTGCCCGATGTGTACCTCGCCTTGGTACATGAACCTGGTGGGTGAGGGTCACTCGATTGTCACAGAAGGTAACTACGGAACGATGTTCCGAATGATTTCGACCACGCTACTTCCGATAATTATAGATAACAACCTAAAGGATACATGTAAACAAAGATATTTATAACCTTCAATAGCTCTTAGACAACTACATCTATCCTCGTTTATAAATCGAAATGCAGATGCGTTGTTACCCTTAAGAAATAAGACGGAATTCCCCGTTTTCAGTAATAAAAGGCATCCATAAAAGGCATTCTCTTTACTCACTATAAGAAACACCAACAAGCTGCTACTTTATGCCTGTATTCTGTGAGAGCGTGGTCCTTCACCGGTCGAGCCGACCCATTTGGTCATTTATGTTACAACTATAATATAGATGCAGCATGACTCTACCACGTAAATCCTTGTATTATATATAATTCTAGTGTATATTATTTTATTTTATAATTTCATTCGTTTTTTTTCCATATCGTTTAAGTACCCCACATACGATTATTCGATATTTCGATAAAACAATGATGCCTTGTATATATATCAATTAATACTTTTTCTTAATGTTTCGATAAAATTCGAACCCAAATTAATAGAAAACTATCGTCCAAGTTTTAAAGAAGATAAGTATACGTAACGTTCTTGGTGTTCAAATTCATTTTATAGTGTTGCATGGTGCTTGTTGCAATCAAATATTTTCTATATTTTCATTATAAAACATAAGAAATAGTAAATAGCCGCGATGTTTCTAATGATTCATTAAAATAAATAGATATAGATATAAAATAGTATATGGACATGAAACTAATTTTACGGTTAATATTATTTATAACTTATTTTGAATTCTTGACGTTTTGAAATTGTGCAACATCTGTGGTCACCAGGGCTGATAAAAACCATAAAATTAGTTTTATTTAATTGGACGTTTTATATTTTCATTGGATGTTTTAAATAAAACTAACATTTATATACTAGAACGATTAACTAATAAAGCGAAGTGCTCATGGAAAGACTGACTCATCTTAGCTTTTTTTAAAATGGTTTTTATTTCAGTTTTTAAATGTAACTTTTAATCTCTCGCGTAAACTCACCTGAGTAAACTCTCCATATCTTTATCGTGCACATCTCGGAGGATCACGATGGGATGCTGGCAAGGATTTGCTTTGAGTAACCGCCGGAAGTATGGACTGCAAGCTGATAGCACCACCTGTAGATTTTATATTCTTAATGCAATTTGATCGATTGCTCGAAAGAGATGAAGAATTATTGTTAGCCTAAACCTAAAAATTGGTAATCTTTATATTTTCCTAACAATTAAACTTCCCCTCTATGAATTCTGTCAAATTTTTCACCTCATTCATAAGTGTATCATGTGTCATGGGTATCTACAATTTTTCTGCCACCTTTCTTCAATCCAGGTAAGACACATCATTGTATTTAATAAGGCTGATGGTTGCGAATTAAATTTTAATATCTTTACCCTCATGGGTGTTTCTCTCGTAAGCTTTCCCTCTGCTGGTACAGATAAAGTCGTATGCGAGAAGCGATGGTACATGTCACAATTTCTGAACAAGTAGGTACTACCACGATAGTTTTTATGTAGTGCAAATCTTGATTCAGAATGTATTACGTGATTTCTTATGAGTTATCTAGAAGTATTTTTTTAAGTTACTGCCTCAAGTTTCAACTTTCAAATAAATGAAAGGACATATCAATTTGAATAATTTTCTGTGATTCCCAAATATTAGACCTTCGAAACATAAATGTTATTAAGCGCCATGACATCATCGCCATCGCCATGAACTTGGTTAAGTACCTACTTGTGCCTTAAAAGAAATAGCTGAACTTGCGCGCACAGAACATAGGTTTTTAGAAAATAGGTATTTGCCTTAAGTTTCAACTTTCAAATAAATGAAAGGACATATCAATTTGAATAATTTTCTGTGATTCCCAAATATTACACCTTCGAAACATAAATGTTATTAAGCGCCATGGCATCATCGCCATCGCCATGAATTTGGTTAAGTACCTATGCCTTAAAAGAAATAGCTGAACTTGCGCGCACAGAACATAGGTATTTACCAGATAAGAAATATTTAGAGTACTTCGTTTTATTAGTGTAACCAAAAACGACATTAACACCAAAATTACGTAGTACTATTATTTATTCTGTGCCAAAATGTCTATACACTGGGTTGACTATTTCTCTAAGCTTTTAACGAATGACTGAATTTGACGACTCCGTGGCGCAGTGGCTTAGCAATGAATGGCTGCGCTGGGGGTTGCGGGTTCGAATCCCGCACGGAATAAGTATTTGTATGGCCTACAAATGATTGTTCCGGGTCTGGATGTTTGTCCTTGTGCAATTTATGTATGTAAACTGCCCCCACGATACAGGAGAAAATCCTAATGTAGGGGTAACGTTTTAAAAAAATAAATAAAAAAAAAAGAATAAAAATAACACATGATAAAACTCTGTACAGTAACGAAATATACATATAAATGCTTTCTTTTTTTTCGGCCGGTTAAAGTTCACTGTTGTACATGGGCCTTTTCAGTTGTAGGACACCAGCACACAGACACCAGCTTAATATATCAGCATAATGCTGTTGTCTTTAGTATGGCGACTGGAGATTACCGTAGACACTTTGAATTTTACTTCATAATTAAGCATAGATATAGTAATCTATAGGCCACAACATCCAGTAATCGTAAGGCTTCTCTTTATAAATACTTTTTAATTATTTGTATTAACTACTAATCAAGTTCTATAGAAACATAATACACTAGAGAAAAAACTTAATTTCGTCCTGTGTGTGCCGTAAACGTAAATGACCGATATCGATTCCGATAGAAAACGGTATAGTAATATCATATATATAAGATTTGCCTTAATTACCAGACATGTCTCACCTTTGACGCTGCATGTTACCGGTCTAGGTATTTTCGGCTTTACTCGTAAAATTGATGTCAAATTAAGTAATGTATAAAGTTGCTCTGTCTCTCTTTTCATTAAATGATGATAGAAAGAGACAGGTGTAGAGATAATTAATACTTAATTTTAGTAAGTTAAAATCAACGATTATAAGTAAGGCTGTTTACATCTAAAGTTAATGGGAAGGTATACCGCCATCTATCGGAAGCCATAATATTTTTCTGAACCCACTGTCTGAGATGGGGTAATCTCAGATGAAGTAAAAAAAGGTAGATATCGCACTTAGAACAAGCAACTGTAACCAATTTTATAACTTTGTGTGAGTCAGAGAAGTGTTGCCACTTTTTTTTTAAAGTCCCTGAAAATCGAGATACAATACTACAAATATAAGAGTAATGTGCGATGCGAATGCGAATGCGAAAGTATTCTATCTGTATATCTGTCTGTTTTAATAAATTTCAACAATTTGAAAGTTCAAAAGAAGATGAAGCACGTAGGAGGCGTCCGCAGATCATTTAAAAATCTTCTTGATAGATTTTCCAGTGAGCATGTAAGCATCGATAAAATATACAACATATGTAATGTAAAACATGTTTATTATAAAAAATAACTTAGTACTAAAAAAAACTAGTTGGAATAAAAAATAAATTTCCATGGAATTAAAAATATAGGCTTTTCCAAATTAAAAAAAAGTATATTTTAGTAAATGCAAAATAGAACAAACTCCAGGAGGGCACAAAGCAGTGTTCTAATTTGTGCCCCGGGTATGAGAGATATGAAGTACAAGCCGGAAAGGACACCTGAGTTTCGGTTAAAAAGAGCAAGGCCGGCTTCGCCGTCTCCGGGTGGTAGTGGACACAGCATTAAGATTGGAATGAAGTGTCCTGATGTTGCAAAAATTCACGGATAGCGTGACAGGGGTCGCCTTGGTCTTATTGCTCCGCTTGCCTCTAGCAGTTTTAGTCACGAGCAGAATTCCCCCCCCCCTTCTCCCAGATACGTGGAGCAGCCTAAGCACCCACGCTCAAGAAGAGTAAAGTAGCTTGGCCGTGGTGTCAGCGAGGGATTCTCCGCCACCAGGAATGAGGTTACCCCCCTTGGGTTAGTTTTTATTTGATTCCGCTACGATGTTAAGGGAGAGCGGGAATTGGGCCTCCAGCTCAAGTGAAAGGCAGAGGTAAACCTCTACTTCACGCAGGTATTCTGTGAGGTCGTACGGTACCACACCGATTCAAGCTGGCCCATCCATGCGACATCAATAGTAGCTGCGTGGCTCTACCACTGTCAAATCAAGAGGATGGCTGCCATTTTGGTTCATTTGAGCTCAGTCTTATAGCAGCTACCCTTTTTTTATAGGATAGGGTGACAAACAAGCATACAGTCCACCCGATAGTAAGTGGTTGCTGTGGTCCATAGACATCTACAAATATCCTCGAATACGAATCAAAATGCAGATGCGTTGTCACCCGCGGGGACTAAGATGGAATGCCTCGTTTCCAGTAAAAAGAGTCTCCGGTTCGCTACACTCACCATACGAAACAGCAGCATTAAGCTACTATTTTACGCTGGTATTCTGTGAGAGACTTATAAATTACATTACAACATTTAATTACACAGGCCGGCATTTTGTAGGCAAATTTACTGCACGACGCCCCGGGAAGTACTGAGCGAAAATGAGCGTAGTTTGAGGCTTTGCGTGAATGCGTGTGCTTACAATAAGGAGCGGAGTTTTTTGGCTTCACCAATAACAAAGGCCGCGCTGTATCTACCTTTTTTTACTTCATCTGGGGGGGTAATATATTATTTGATTATTTATTCGACTTCGATTTACTCTTTTTATGATATTTTTTTACTCACAAAGCGCAAACATTTCTCTACTATCATTATATTTATCGCTAATGATGAGCTTAAGTGGGTGAGTAATAAAGAAATTATTTGTTACGAAAAAAAAAACACTGAATGGAATGGTTGACGACAGATTCATATATTATGGCATTAAATAAGTTATAAGTAAGCCAGAAACAAAAGTTTGGTATATTCCTCAGCCTACGCTTTTAATGAAGGAAAATTGAATTATGATAGAAAAAGGCGGTAGTTGTTTCGTCCAGAAATTTGTATAATATGTAGAATCTTAGTCAAAAAAACCCTCCTTCCCTGTTTTTGTAGCCAAATAATCACTAAATACAGCTGTATTCCGGTATAAACACTGAAACAGTAATAATAAGAAAATAGAAAGGAATTAGCGCTCGATTACTTCCGAAACCGATGTCGCCACATTTTAACACATACACATTAAGCGACCAGCCTGCAGCCGTATTACAAACATACGCAATGCACAATGATATCTAATGTTTACATTACATTGCTTGGAGAGTTTGTCAATGTCGCGTGCGTCGCGTATTACGGTAGAACAAAACCAGCAATGGTAATTGTACAGTACGAAAAGTAATAAATGAAAGTTTACAAAGGTAAATATCACAGTAAAGTATTCATCTAGATGTAAATTAGTTAAAATAATGATAATTAGTAAATAATTACCTTACCGATGAAATATTATGCATTTATTAGTTGAATTACACGTCCTTGACGAGTTTTTACTACTGATTATGCTGCAGTTCACCATTATAATAACATAAATTCACGTACGACGTTCCCCGCGCAATTAAATCACAAAATGGTGAATGATATTCGTCAACACATCATAGCGGCGACAAGGTCACGCGTCTATGCCACTTCTATTTTCTTATTATTACGATTTCTGTGGGTATAAAGGATATGAAAAGCAGGTATAATTACAGGTTATAGGGCATTTAGGAGTGACAACACATTAATAGCTTTCTTTATTTGGAGTTGTTTACAGGTACAGTTAGCTCCCAACCACCCATTTACATTCTGCAGGTTTGTCTCTAATATTAAAAATAGGCCTCAACTAAATTAGTACATATCTTTATATTCGCAATAGATACTATAGCTAGAGTTAATTCTATCCTATAAATCTACTTATAAGAAAATGACTCTTCTGCACTGTGCTTTCGCTTTGTTTAGTAACTCCACAGAAGGTGAACTGAAATCAAAGTCTGTAATGAAAATATAACACGCACTTCCACGCAAGAAGACTTTGTCTTTTAAAAGCGAAAGTGACCCGTATATCAATCGGTCGTTGTGGAGTTCAGAGAAATACAAAAATTTTTATTACAAAGATTTGGACAACTATTTCGATAGCCCTCATGTAGGCTATCGAAATATACGTGTCCATTATTTAACCATTCTTTTGTAATACGGATTATTCGCACTCAATTAATAAAACTAATTAAACAGCGTTTTCGTCGCTTTCTTTTAACAATATCATAGTGAAAAACGGTATATTTTAGGTGAACTGTTATTACCTGAAATATATACCTATTATATGTAGCCACGGTGCAGCTATATTATACCACAGAATACCAGCGTTTTATATAGCGAGTGTAAAGAACATGGGACCATTCTTATTGGAAACGAGGCATTCTACCTTAGGCGACATCGCATCTGCATTTTGGATACATTAAAGATACGAGGGGACATTTTAAAATTCGCGGAATGGGGGATAAGGAGTGGAAATAAAAATCCATTTTTTTTTCTTTTTCAATATATTCACCTGCTACCCTAATCATTTTTCGGATCTTTCATCAACTGATCTCAATTAACTTATGTATACCGTCAACAATGATTTGTCTTTATCTAAAAAATATGCCGAAACTGCTCCCTTCACTTCTTTATCACTTAAAAACTTTCTCTCACGAAGTTTTTTTTTAAGTTTGGGAATACATAATAATCACTGTGGGCCAGGTCAGGTCAGGACAGGTTGAGCGTGGCAAAATTTCAAAGCCCACCTTCCGCAGGGCAGGCTGTGGCACTTGTGAACAAACGCGTTGTCGTGCAGAAGAAGGATTCCTTTGGTAAATTTTCACCTTCTTTTGTCCTTTATAGCTTCTTTCAATTATTCTACAATTGAAGCTTAGTAACTTCCGGTTATGGAGACACCTTTATCTTTATAATTAATGAATAGGATTCCTTCTGAGTCCCAAAAGACTGCCGCCATGATTTTCCCAGCCGATTGTGCCACCTTCAATTTCTTGAGTGGTAGTGTGTCTTTTTTGTGCCACTGCATAGAGTCCTGTTTGGACTCAGCTTCATAATGGTGAACCCAAGTTTCGTCACCAGTAACATTCGAGCCAACACTCCATCTTTGTCTTCCATACAGAGATCCAAAATGCATGAGAACACTTCACGCGCTGTTGCTTTTGACGGCCTGAGCATCTTAGGTACCCATGTTGCGCTGACTTTAGTCATGCCAAGAAGGTCAGGAAGACTAGCTCGCGGCCTGCAAGTCCGCGAGCCCAGAGTCAGATAAAGCTGTAAGAGTCGCATAGACTAACAGTGAAAACATCCCGAAAATAGACTAGAAGAACTTTCTCTAATATTCGTACCATTTCTGCGAGCAGTTTTTCCTTTAGGCGTATTAATTCATCTTCTAATATTAATTTTTCGACTTTTTGAATTATTTCCGAAGTGGTCACCTCGACCGGCCTTCCTGGCCGTGGGTCGTCTTCAAGTGACTCTCTGCCTTGTTTAAAAAGGGGTATGCCACTTGTAAACCATAGTTTTACTTGGACAAGAGTCTCTGTAAACGGATGACATCTCTTCCAGTATAGTCTGAACTGATTTTTCGCGCTTGGTAAGGAACTTTATAACGGCACGGAACTCGATTTTCTCCATATTTCACAATTTCTTCCCGATTGACTCGTTTGGTTGACGATAAATCAAAGACTAGTGATCTAATTACAATAAAACCCGGTATTTATACTAATAATGAGTTGCTCAATTAGTACGTAATTCAGCGACGTCCACATTTATTACCTACCTGCATATTCCACGAACTTAAAAACGCACCTGCGTACATGTAGATGCCTATGGGCCACAGCATCCATTTAGCATCAAGTGGACTGTGTGCTCGTTTGTCATTTCTTTTCTATAGAAATGTGGCTATTGCAGCGTATGGAAATCTACGACCAACTTAAAAGAAAGAACCGCAAAATGTGTTGCAGACTGTTCTGTGTGTAAACAATACCTAATAGAATGTGTATACATATACAATCAAAATAATTATTAATAGTTTTGCAATAATATTGTAATTTGTTCAAAGCATACAAAATTAGTTTAAATTGTAATTGTACTTGGTTATTATTTTCTTATTTATGTTGTAGATAGTTGTTAGATATTCAATAAATATATATACGTCAACAAATTTAGCATTTGTTGTATAGCAAACATTTCACGAATATTTTGATTTCGAAATAATCATTCTTAATATTGATAACGATATATTAAAACGTGTGCAAATTTATATATGGCCATAAGAGTGCCTTCTATTAGATTATTTAAGAAAAAACTTATATTAAATTTAAAACTTACCATTCAACTAAAAGGCACAACAAATTATTCAAATCCAAAAAATATCAATAAAATATTCAGCATCTTGTAAAAAAAAAAATTAATATCATCCTGCTGCACAACCTTACCAAAATAGGTAAAAACTTTTAGAAGCTTTGCCTCTGTACGGTTTCTTTACTCGTGTGCTTTCGGGAAAAGAAACTCTAGGTAGCAGATGCAGAAAAACTACTTGAAAATTAGGATAGCATAAAAGTGTGCTGACTGTAACTGGCTTACTTTTAGGAAGTAGAGTAAGTCAGCAGATGCAGAAAGACTTAAAATACCAAGGCGGCATAAAAGTGTAGTGTGGTAACCTTTTGCGTAGAGGTGCCGCCGGCGCACGCGAGCGTGACGTCGACAAAGTCCTCCTCGGCGCGCAAGACACTGGCCGATTGGAAGTTGATTTTGCTCTTTTTCCACAGTCTTTACTCTCTTTTTAATTTTTCTACCTTTAGAAATATCCGTATGGTTTATCCGTTTCTAATGTAATTAATATAAATTATAACTAATATTTCAAAAAGTAATATTAACTTTTTCCTAACAAATTAACTACTCCACCGCCATGAAACATTTTCGTGGCAGAAATGAGGGTGGTTCCAATCCCAACCGACTTGGAAGAAGAGAAACGATACCAGCAGATAGAAAATACTTGAAAATACCAGGGCGGCATAAAAGTGAAGTGTGCTAACCTTGTGCGCCGTGAAGGTGGCGCCGGCGCACGCGAGCGTGACGTCGACGAAGTCCTCCTCGTCGCGCAGACGACGGAACGAGGACACCATGGCCGAGTGGAAGTCGTTCCATCGCAGCGAGTACTGCTGCTCGCCGGCCGCGGCGCCGCCTGCGCACACACGGTCACTTGCACTGTAATATGCGACACTTGCTGTGCGGACAAAGTGCAATATTTTAGAAACATTATCACGGTAAGTACACAGAAGCATTGTATTATATAATAATTTAGATTAAACTAGTTTTTACGGATTTTATTACGTATATCAACTTATTTTACATTCCTGACGTTTCGAGTACATTACAGCTAGGGCTGCCATCCGTCTGGGTTTCCCCGGATTTGTCCTAGTCCGGGGAGCGTCTGGGCGGGGTTTAAATTGTAGTCCGGGTGCAACCCGGACTAAATAAAAGTTTTTCGATCAGATTCCATTTAATTTTATTAACTGAGTAACTAATATTGGGTTTGTTTATCTCTTATTTAATACCGAAGAAGGTTGAAAAATAAAACAAAATTAGGTACTCACTTGTCGTCACAAGAACGATTAAACACACTATTTCATGCAACAAAAGAGGCGGTAAAAGGTACGGAGTAAAATATATTTTAATCAAGATGTAAGTAAATGAAAAAAGTATTGAAATGTCCGGGATGAAAGCTCCAAAATCCAGGGAACTTACGTTTCCGGTCCTGGGGGCAGGTTTTAGAGATGGCAGCCCTAATTACAGCATCCATGGTCACGGAGGGGACTGAGGTGTTAGACGTCACACGATGTCTTAATCACGGTTGACATCCATTTTCATTTTACATTCGCGTAAACATAACAAATCATTATAATAATTTCTTATATTTCACGTATACTACACAAGGAATAAAACTGGTTTTACAGATTTTATCGAGTTTATTTTTAGCTTTTAATTCCCGATGTTTTGGGTACTTTAATGTCCCATGGTCACGGATAGATACCATGATACGTCAAAATGCCAAAAGGCATTATATTTGTCCTCTATATCCCTTGAGTATAAATAGTACAATAAAGATTAAATCAATTAAAAAAATTTTTTTTTTTTTTTAATTTTTTTTTTTTTTTTTTTTTATTAAAAAAAAAAATTTTTTTTTTTTTTTTTTTTTTTATTTTTTTTTTTTTTTTGGGGGGGGTTTTTTTTAAAAAAAAATTTGGGGGTATTTTTTTTTTTTTTTACTTTTGGGGAGGGGATGTAATTACGTCTAATGGATAAGTCGGCAATTAAAAAAGTTAAAAACTTTTTTTCAATTGTAAATTTAGTTTTATTCAATTGTATAATATATTATTGAAATGACAGTCACCACCTAATTAAACACTAAATAACGTGGGTTCGAGTCCGGATTTTGATTACTGTCGTGCACTATGCCAAGCACAAACTTTAGCTTAGTTGGTGTGGTTAACGAAAGTGTTTAAAGTGTTTGACAATATTGTTAGTGAACTTTAAAATGGAAGGATGGATGGTTTTTGACTTAGTTGCCAGTTGCCACGTTTGGCAAGCGTGTCGGATACCGCAGTATTTTGTTATTTTTAGTTGTTATAAGAGCGATGCTGCTCCCAAACTCTTGATTCAGTTTCCCTCTGTCGCTTCATCCGACACCCACGGGACGATATGGGAGTGGATGCTTTCACCGTCACTATACGGCTACACAACATATAAAATGCAAAATACGTGGTAGTTACAACATTAAACTGTTAAAAAAAAATCAAAATCCTAAATATATTGTTTTGCGCCTTTTTGTAATTTTCTTGAACGTGTGCTTAGTTATATTTTTATTCATAAAGTGCAATACAGAAAAGTAACAATGAAAAATTATAAATTTCGCATTATTTGTCCTAGTAGAGTTAATTAAGCCATAGTTTTCAGTTCTCGATACTAGATGGAGTTAGACAATACTTCAACAACTAAATTTGTAAAATGTTTTCCGAATCGTTTGTTGTTTGTTTAGATTTTTAGCGGCAAAAAATTTTAAGTTAAAATATTTTATTTGACATATGTATCTCACAAGTCTCGGATTGATTGATTGATAAATAAATAAATACCTACCTAAATTAATTTTACCAACCACCACCAATTTTATACTTTAAAAATAAGAACTAGGTTGCCGATGAGGTTTTATAGTCTTACAAAAGATGTCGCTAGTTGGGGAATAAGGTAAACTTATATGTATATGTCTTCTACCTTTATAATAACTAATATTTTAGTATGAAACATTCATTTCTACACTTTTCTAACAAATTAACTTCCCCTTATGGAGTGTAGAGGTAATTTCATATTTCCCCGTTTTGAAATCTGTCAAATCAAATATTTCACCTCATCTTAAGTTGCGCCGCCCTGGTGGCAGAAAAAATTGATGCACTCATTCGAATGTTATGCATGCTACGCGATATCTTCGCCAGGTAGAGTCGAGGCAATGTTACTTTAGATATACATATATGATAAATATTTATTTTTATAGCAAACATTTAAAGTATTTTTTGATATTGAAATATGTAAAACAAACTTCTAGACACTTCTGCTCGCATATTAATAACATACGGTAAAACGGGACATTGGCATACCGCACATATTATAGACAATATTATTACTATTTCTGTAGCTAAAGCACAGTTTAGATCTTACAATGGTGAAACGCCTTTGATGTCAGGCGATGCTGTCGCCTGTACAGGTATTTACGCGACGAGCGTGTAGTATGCTAGGGCTATTATTTCTTTTTTTATTAATTATTACGCGACCAGCGTGTACCTATGCTAGGGCAATTATTTCTTTTTTTATTAATTATTACGCGACCAGCGTGTATGCGAATGCTAGGTTGTCACAAAAATGGAAATAAAATCATTTTGGATATTACAATACTCATTATCATTAATAACATTATGTACATACTTATAAGTAAAGATTTATCGAACAAGATAATTTTTTATTACTATAGTATGCGAGGGTAATATTGTAATCCAGTTAATATGGTCACTTCCTTATAACACAAAAACGACAGCCTTGTTTGCATAGATGGGTTTGTGATACGATAGCTCTTCATCGGTCAATCAAATAATAAAGGGTCAAAAGTATGGAGTGTAGAAGTAAGGAGTACCAACTCCCATAGTAGTATAGTTGAAAAAGTGACCATCTGTAAGCGTAAATAACAGTTCAAAAACTCTCCACAACAGCGCTGGAGTAGCTACTGGGATGAAATGAACTTAGCAGTTGTCGAGGGTTTGAAGTGTGCTGCTAAACTGCTCAGTAGCTCTAAAATCTAAAATAATTTCATTTAGTAAATATAACCTCGAAAAAGTAGTCTATCGCACTAATATTTTTAGGCACGTTCTTTAAAATTTAACCCGTAACTATAGTGGTGCCACCCTTATCTAAAGGTTTTCTATGGACACTTTTTAATACACAGTCTGTACTCCTTACTTTTACACTCCATAGTCAAAAGGGCGCTGATTTATCGACGCCATTTTGACAGTTGACACCTTAGTACTATTTTTATTCTATGACAATAGTAAATATTTTAGTTGATTTTAGTATAGTGTAGGGTAGTGAGTTTTTTTAAGTCAATTTTCGAAGTATTTATAATTATTGCCAAAGCTTGTTTTTGTTTGTAAATATGTTAGTTACAGTATACGACTTTGTGTGTGATCTCTGTCCTCCTCCTGGTTTTGGTTTTATAGGTCGACACAGCTTAAGGTGACCATATTACCACATATCACAAGAAAAAACACATTTACAAGCACTGCTAAATATTTTCGTGACACTTTATTTTTATAGATGTTTTCAGTTTTCGATTGTTAAATTTAATTATGTAGTGTATTCGCTTTCGGATAAAAATCTTATCAAAAAAATTGAGCGCGACAAGCATGGCCGTCATTTGAGTTTAATTTTACTTAGGAACTCATATAACTGTACCAGTAATGGTAATAGTAAATTCTAAGTAATATATTTTTCGGAACCATCACTTAAAATTAGTTGAATCAGTACTATAAAACACGCTCTACATGGTAGAGCCACGCTGCAGCTATTATACTATGGTTGTAGCACGAATGGGTTGGCCCGACCGGGGTAGGGACACGCTCTCACAGAATACCGGCGTTAAATATCAGCTCAATACTGCTGTGTTTCGTATGATGAGTGTAGAGATCCGGAGACCCTTTTTTACTGGATACGAGTCATTTAGTCTTCAGGGGTGACAACGCATTTGCATTTTGATTCTTAATCGAGGATAAATGTAGATGTCTATGGGCCACAGCAAACACTTGCCATCAGGTGGACTGTGTGCTCGTTTGACAACCATATTCTATAAAAAAAACGCTCGTGCCAACCGCATTTATTGTCTATCAGACTCGGTGAAGTGCGATAGCCCAAGGTAGCCAGCCCCTGTCCCGCAGTACCCCCATCGTTGCTTTGTGAAAGTACATTCGTTACCCAACTGTAAGGTCTTAAAAACTGTTGATGAGGCTCTAGAAACGAGACGTCCCGGCTCTCGCGGGGTAAGCACCTTTTTTGTATAACCTTTTTATATAATAAGGATGAAGGGTGACAAGTACTAACTCGACCTGTTACAAGTATATGTTGTGACTTACTGACATCTAAATCCAAATATTGTCAAAGTTTAGATAAGAAAGACATAATATGGTGGAAGCAAGAAGAACAATCATAGTGTACTTGTAGTTTGACGGATCCGCGGCGCAGTGGGCCGCCAGTTCGAATCTCTTATGGAACAAGTATTTGTATGGCCTACAGTAATTGTTTCGGGTGTGGATATTTGCCCTTGTGCAACTTATGTTTGTAAACACCCCTGAGGACTAAGATGGAAAGCCTCGTTACCAGTAAAAAGGGTCTCCGGTTTTCTACACTCACCATACGAAACATATCAGTGAGAACTTGATCCTTATAAAATATCAGTCTTTGATAACAACGGGTAATAACGTTCTAAGTTTTCTTTATATTACGTACAGTTGACCTGCTACTATAGAGTAACAAATCACTACGTTTTACCAGGCTTTACCTGTTACAATTTTAAAATATAGCGACAGGTACATTAACAAATAAGAAAGTTTCTATTATCCGGTGTGAATTGCAATTTAATTTTGCGTTAATATTTCTTATTTGATTCAATTTCCGTTTTCATCGTGATTA